TGCCAAATACACTTTCTCTCTCTGGGCGCTCACATTTGTACTGGTAAGTACGTTTTGTTCTGATACAACGTTTCAAAGCGTATTGCAGACATCTGATGCTTCACCCATCAATACCTGAGCCTCTATCTCCCCAAAATAAGACTATTCCTTGCATAACCAATCACCTAACTATAATGTCATTGCCACCTCTAAGAAAGTTGTCAGCAATTCCCTAATATCATTATCCTGTTTACAGTCACACTTCTGCAATTTCCCCGATTTCCTTCCGGCGTTGCTCTTTTACAATCAGGGCCCTGCCAAGTTCAAGCATCGCACTTGCTTGTTCCTCTGGTGTCTTGTGTGAGAGAACAGTGGTCTCTGCCGTTTTCCTTTGACATTGCTTTCCCGCCCTCCCCTCTCCCGCCCCCTGCCGCCCCGCTTTGCCGGGAGCCCAGACCAGTCTGGTAGAAGGTCCTGCCTCGAGGGTTTGTCTGACTGTTTCCCGTGGAGCTGTTTACCCTGTTCCTCCCTCCCACCCACAGGGGCAGGCAGGGCCAAGGCTTGATTAGTTTCAGGTGCCACGTCTTAGGTACAGAGACTCTGCAGGTGGCGCTGTGGGCTCTGTGGGACAGGGATGACCAGGTGTCAGCGTGTCCTCTCTTAGCGAGGCCACGTGTGGTCACTTGGTTAAAGTGGTGTCAGCCAGCTCTCTCTCCGTCATAAAGGTGAGTTAAGGAGCAATCTGTGGGGTAGGACTTTGTCACCTGTTCCCCACAGCCTTCTCCCATGTTCTGGGGGCAGAGAGTGGAGGGGGCAGCTACAAGACCAGGGACGTCAAAGGCTGCCAGCAACCACCAGGCGGTTGGTTGGAAAAGGCATTCTTAAACACACATTAAAAAACCCAAAGTTAAAGTTAAAAAAAAGAAAGATAAATGTGATAACATCAAAATTAATGACACTTTTCAGTGAAGTACAACATAATTAACAGGAAGATATGAAATTTGAGGGAGACACTTGAAATATCTTTAGCCAACAGGGGACACATTCTAGAATATATAAGGCACTCCTGCAAACCAGCAAGGAAAAGATAGTAACTCTACAGAGAAAAAATGGTCAAAAGATCAAAATCAGCAGTTTATAGAGAAAGAAACCCCTACAACTGACAAGATTATGAAGAAATATGTCATCTCATTCATAGAGAGAAGTAAATTAATACAACACGTCACCATAGCCCTGTTATACTGAAAACAATGTTTAAGACTGACTTTTTTTTTTTTTTTAAGATTTTACTTATTTATTTTTAGAGAGAGGGGAAGGGAGAAAGGGAGAGGAACATTGATGTGAGGGAGAAACATTGATCGGTTGCTTTTCGTACACATCCTGATCAGGGACCGAACCTGCAATCCAGGCCTGTGCCCCAACCGAGAACCGAACTGCTGGCCTTCTGGTTTGCAGGATGACGCCCAACCGAGTCACACTGGTCAGGGCGCATGGATTTACTTTTAAGAGCCACCACCAAACTATTCCCTGGGGTGGCCTCCAGAGCCCCAGGTGATAGCAACTGCATTCCTGTGTCCATCTCTCTTTCTCTTTGCCTCCGCCTGTGTCTTTTCACCTCTGGGCTGGACTTCTCATGGAGCGAGGGTCCCAGGCTCTCCCCCCAGTTTAGTGACCTCAGGAGGAAAGACAAAATCTATCGTTTAGCATCCATAGATCCAGACCCAGGGAAGGACCCTAACTGGACCAGCTCAAGTCACGTGCACCTGTGGGCCAATCACTTTGGCTGCTTGATGGGATCTTGGCTCAGTCAGACCTAGTCCCAGGTCCGTGGCCTGAGGGTGGAGCTCTGGTTGTCCGAAGGATGGGGAAGGGGAGACGCTGCACAGGCAGGGAAGCCCCTGCTACTGGGGAGGCTCCTGGGTGGTGCATGGAAGGTAGTGGTCTAACATCTGTTTAGCAAGGGACGAAAATCAGCCCCAGAGAAGAGGCAAATGTCTGGGCAGCCAGACTGGGCAGTGGCTGCGGGTGGTGGCAGGGCTGCCTCTGCCTCTCCTTTCCTTCCCACCCTCTTCTCATGCGCCCCTGGTGGTCGGTGGCGAGAGAACAAGGACCGTATTCCTCTAGACGCTGTGTAAACAGAAGTGGTGTTGTGCAGCCCCCTCGAAGGCCAGGGGCTGATGAGCTCCCTGTAGCCTCGTTCCCTTCCACGGAGAACATTCCAGCAGGATGAGGTCACCAGGCCAAGGAAAGCTGGCGGTGAGGAGGGGGTTGCTGGGCCAGGGCTCTGGACCAGTGCCCATCCCCCAGCTCCCGCCCTTAACCGGAACTTTCCCCATCACAGGTGGTCTCAGAAATCTCGGGTGGAACGTAAGTCCCGGCCTTGGTGTGAATGCAAAGGTTTGTGGGCGAGAGGGAGTGGGAGGACCCAGACCCTCCCTGCCTCCTGCAGCCTTTCCATCGCTGGCCCTCGAGCGGACTCTGCTTCGGTGGCCACGCAGAAGTTAGCATTTGGTGAACTGACCCCGGGAGTGATGAAGGCCAGCTGAGAGCGCAGCCAAGACGGTAGCAAAAATGACATTTATTGAACTCGGCTCTACACTAGTCATGTATTTCACCATGTATAATGTGCACTTTTGTGCCCAAATTTTTGAGGGAAAAATATGGATGCACATTATATGAGTATAATGATTATATACCATGGGTATAATAATGGGCGTAATCCGTGTATAAAGCGCACACAAACATGGGTGCACATTATATACATGGCAAAATACAGGATAGCTGAATATCTCATTGAATCCACTCCAAATCTCCACTAGGTGGGCATTATTATTATTTTTTTAGGTGGGCATTACTATTACCCCTACGCCGTGGGTGAGGTGACCAAGGCTCCCCGACTTAGCACGATGGTAGAAACCTGCATCCAGACCCTGGTCTGTCTGGATCTAGGGTTCCCCCTTTCCCCCAACTGTCTCCATAACCGTGTGCGACTGGGGATGTATCCCCAGCTCCATGTGCGTCTCCCCCAGAAGCCAGCGTGGTTATACAGGTGCGCACTGCCCAAGGGCCGCACGAGGGCTGGGGAGAGGGGGTAGGGGCAGCAATACTGCCGGGGCTCTGCTCATGTGGACTTCAGCCCGGAAGGGCTCCTTTTTCTAATCCTCAGAGAGACAGCGTGCAGACTGGCGGCAGCCCTGCGCTGGCCCGCGCCAGCCCTCTCTGTACTCTGGCAAAGCCCGCCGGGCTGGCCACTCACACAGCAGGCCCCCTATGTCATGCTCTGCCATGTGCACTGCGACCCAATTGGTTCCTGTAACGAAACCTGTTTTTCCCGTAACTCACCCACCATTTTCCTGCCTCCAGGCTCTTGCTTCTTTGGTTTGTCCAGCCTGGAGTGCCTGTTCCTTCCTAACTACCTCTCCCATTTCATTTGAACAAAAGCTGCCTCTCCTGCCTTTAAAACCCAGCCAGTTGGGGTGGTGGACACACAATATACAGAGGATGTGTTATGGAATTGTATGCCTGAAACCTGTATCAGTTTATGGACCAATGTCACCCCAATAAATTAAAAAAAATAGAATGGACCACAAATTGTGGTATCCTCATACTATAAAGTACTGTGCCACAATTAGAATGAGTAACCTATAACCAGAGCAAACAAAATCGATGAATCTTATAGGCATAAACCACCCCTCAAAACCCCAGTCAGATGCCCACCCCTTGAGAAAGACTTTCAGACACTACAGTGAGACTTTATCTTGCTCTCTGCCACCTCTCACATGGCTTTGTATCTGTAGATTTATTTATTTTTAGAGAGAGGAGAGGGAGGGGGAAAGACGGAGAGACACATCACTTGAGAGAAATATCGATCAGTTTCCTCTTGTAGCCACCGCAACCAGCGACCAAGCCTGAAACCCAGGCATGCGCCCCGGGTTGGCAATCGAACCTGCAACCTTTTGTTTTGCAGGTTGAGGCCCAAACAACTGAGCCACACCAGCCAGGGCAAGGGGTTCTGATTTTAAAGCCACCTGCTCGCCGGAGGATTTTTTAAAAAAAGACTTTATTTTTAGAGAGGGGAAGGGAGGGACAGAGGGAAACATCCCTGTATGGTTGCCTCTCGCGCTCCCCCTACTGGGGACCTGGCCTGCAACCCAAGGAATTAAACCGGGGAGGCAGGCGGGCACTCAGTCCACAGAGCCACACTAGCCAGGGCTTGGGGAGGATTTTTAAAATATCAGTTGATCTTTTGCTTCCCCACAATTGTCAACTTGGCCCAAATAAACTCATAAAAATTTTTATAAATAAACAAATAAAGCCTCCTGCTCTGATTAGGGTGGCTTCCACAGACTTCGCGACCGGGTCTGCGGTGTTAGCAGCCGGAGGGCAGAAGCCAGCGGTTCTTCGCAGCCCAGAGGTGAGCTTTTGCAAACGTTGGTAAAAGGCAAGGTTGCCCTGGTGCAGGCCTCCCTCCTGCCCTGCGGAGCTGCCACTCCTGCAAAGCTGCACGGCGGACCCCTTCATCCACGCGGACCCCAGCGGCTCTGCGGCACACGGGACCGCAGCTCTCAAACCGGGCACCGGGTCTGCCAGGGGACAGAAGCCCAAGGAAACGAGCAGGAACCCCAACCACACCCAGCCCAGCGAACTTGTTTACGCCTCTCGCACAGCCCCTCCCGCCCGGCCGGCAGGGCCACGTGACTCCGCCCCGCCTCTCGCCCTCTCACGTGGCTCCTCCCACCGCACCGGCCCTTCTTTTTGCCTCCTTCGGAGTCACAAGATCTCTCAGTAGCCTTATTTCGGGATCCTTCCGCCTGTCCCCGCCCCCCGTAGCCTTATAATTCCTCCTCGTTTTTTCTCGATCGGTTCGCATCATCATTAATGAGAAGCACGGCCTCTTCCGTCCATCGGGGCTGCCGACGGCGGTCACTTGTCATCGGGCTTGAGGGAGACGCGAGACCCCACTGGGGACTCTTTTTCGTGGCGGAGGCTGCAGCCGGCCGTGGACATTTCACGACGGGGGAGGTGCTGTACGTCCAAGATGGCGGCGCCCTGTAGGCTGGAGGAACTGTGAGGTAAACAGCTGAGGGGGAGGAGACGGTGGGTGAGTATGGGGGTGTCGCCCCCTCTTTTTCATGGGGGCTTCTCGGGGCTGCCCTGGCACCATGACCCCAGGCGGGGAGGCCCTGGGGGGCGAGGGCAAGCGGCTCCTTTGCTGGGGACGGGACCCCGGGAAGGGGGATTCGCAAAGCTTTCCCCTCCCTCTTATTACGCGCTGTCTCCGGTGGGCCCGGCTGGGCTGGCGGGTCCCTGGGATGGAGAGGCGGGCCTGGCCGGCCCTTGGCCCTCCTTGGCGGCCGGGGGGACGGACGGATGCACTCCCGGGCCGCGGCGCCCAGGGCAGGGGCAGGTGAGCGTCCCCGCCAGCCCCTCACTTGGGGGGGCGGTGACAGACCCCCGGGCGGGGTGCGCAGGGCGGCGGCGAGGCCTGGCGGCGGCAGGGCAGGCCCGGGCGGCGGGGCTGGCCCCAGGGCTGGTCGAGAGGGGCCGGGGGTGGGGGAGATGAATGGAGGCTGCCTGTGGGCGTCGGGGGCCGCCTGGGGCCGCCCCGGGCCGCCCGGCCGCGACGCCGCCGCGGGAACGTGCAGGGCTGCGGCGCCTCGCTGCGGGGGAGCCTGTGGGTGTTTAATTGACGGTGAGAGACAGTTACCTCGAGGCGGCCGAGGTGGTTCTTAGGAGACAGCTATTTGCGGAGCCACTCCTAGACGCTCATTCATTCATTTGAGGAACTGGAGGGTGCAGTCGGGGAGGGCTTTTCGAGTTAAAGCTGTTTCTTTGTGTTCCCTGGGCAGGAGTTGGGCTTGCTGTGCTTCGCATGGGGGGGGGGTGTGTCTTGGGAGGGGGTGCGGTCCCCCTAACAACAACCACTCACGGTTAAGGAGGGCTCCCTGGACCAGCGCTGTGCAGCCAGCGCCCCCTTAGTGCTGGCCACCCGGGGGCCCTTCACTCCGCCGTTGCCCGGAGGAGAAACTGAGGCCCAGAGGGGTGCCCGGCACGCGCCGAAGGGCACCTCTAGCGGTGCGAGCCAGCGCTGGAACCGGGGTCTCTTTGAGGCCAGGACCCTGGGCCTGGCCTGGTCTGTGTTCACGTGACTCTCTCGTGTATCTGATACTTGATCAGAGCTGGCCTGTCAGTCTCGCCGAGAGATGGGAAGTGACCAGTTGGCCAGGGTTGGTGCACAAGTGCGCCACGCGCTTAACTTTGAAGAGCGGCGCCCTGGCTTCTGCGCGCCCTCGCTTCGTCTGCGACGGCGAGTGCTGAGCGTTGGACGTGCTGGTCTCTCCTGGGAAATGGTGGGTGGTTTTGCTAAGAGGGTGAGTTTGCTGCCGAGAGAAGCCTCGTGAACACCCCTGCTGGGGTTTTTTATAGGGAGCGTGGAAAGAGCACTTAACTTGACATAGGGTAGGCCGTGGAAGTCCTAAAATAGGATAACGTTCTTCTGAGATACTTTGATTTATAACCTTGGGATCAGCTTGGAGTCACCCCAATTCAAACGCGCTGGCCAAACCGAGCTGTAAATTTCAAGGAGCATTAGACATGTGGATCTTCTGGGAGCCCTTGACTTAGGGAGCAACTGCCTGTGATTCCGCAGTGGAACATTCCTGAGTAAAGCAGGAGCATGCAGATGTGAAAACGCCTGGGTTGTGCGGGGAAATGGCCTTGAGCAGCCATGCATCAGGCGAGTGAGGCGCCTCACAGTGGGACGTGCTTTGCCGCAGCCCGGGGAGCTGCAGAACCTTCCTGGGAACCACCTGGTGTAACTCGAGGGGTGTGTGTGGGAGACGCACACAGAAAATGTCCTCTTACTGAAATTAATGTTTTACGCCAAACACTCTTACGTCCCGTGCCACGAAGCCGCCAGTGTAAGCCTTCTGTGCCGCGTGCGTTTCCTGGTGTGGTAAGGGCCGGGTGCGCCCCCAGATTCCTGGCTAGAGTCGCTGGGTTAAGAGCAAAGACCTGGGGCTCTGCTGCCATTCGCTGGCGCGGTCACGGGTCCTCCCGTGCATGCCCGGTCAGTCTTACTAGGACACATCAAATATATACCCATCCGTGGGCTGTTAACAAAATCGTAAGGTTGCTGGGAGCCGGGGCTCCCAACAGTCTCCGCCAGAACCCCCACCGCTGGCGTCAGACCCCACAGCCGGTAGACCTGCACCGTCGGTCTGTGAGGACACACTGGACGCGCCGTGTTGGGAGAAGTCGGAGGTGACCACGATGGGCACCAGAGGCTGAGGACCAGCGCCTTCAAGTTTCAGTTGGGCTACTTTCTTTTAATTTATAAGTTAGGGCAGAGGCATTTTTAAAGGATGGTTTCTAATCTCTGGTGTGTGTGTAGTGGAGTGAATTTTGGGCTCGGAATCACAGCTGACCTAATGTTGTAGCCGTGTCTTCTTTTGAAGTTTGTTAGGGTGTATACAGGCAGGCATTTTTCTGGGTCCCAGGACCATGGTGGACCAAGATCAGCTTCTCCTGGAATTAATTGGATATTTTTGGATGCACATGGGCCCAATACAGCCATATGTCAACCGTTTCAAGCTTTCTAAAAGCCAAGTAGCTTTTGACTTTGAACAAAGTCACGTAAGTTCTCTGAGACTCAGTTTCTTCATCTGTGAAATAAGAGAGCTGGGTTGTAAATTAGGGTGTCCCTAAGTCTAAAGTTCTGTGATTTAAGGTCCTCCTGCCGCTTCAGTTAAATATTCTGAGTAAATATTTAATCAGAGTGTTAATGGCTTTAAAATATCTAAGTAAATTGGTGACTTTCAGCCTGACCTGTTGAGTGGTGACCTGTTTATCTTTTCCTTTGTGTCACCTTATTTTTAAAAGGTAATTTCCTTTAGGTTTCTCACATTCTAAACCTCTTTTTGAGAGATTAGTTTTATTTGTACTAGTTTTGCTTGTCATTTAAGTGGCTGCTGTCATGGAAGAAAAGTACACTCTGCATTCAGACCTGTAGCTTTTCAGTGCATGTCCCAACACTGGATGTTTTTCTGTCCTTGTGTAATGTAACTTAGGCTTCACGAAATACTCATTTTTCTTCATTTAAGTTGGTCTGAAGGAGGTCTACCATCAGCAGTTGTCTGATTTACTTCTTAAGCCTGTCGTTATTAGCAATTAATGTCTCTTTTTGGGAAGAATAAAAAATCAGTATCTGTTCATTCATCCTCAGGACTTTGCCGATTTTTTCTCATCCCCTCCCTTGTGCAGTACTGATTTTTGTTCTCTACAGGGAAGTAGTAAAAGGTACCAGTATCTTTAAAGGTTGACTGAATTCAGATTGTCATCTAACGAGTAGAAGTGCCTTAAAAATCAAGGTTTGATACAAAACAAGGCACAGTAGCTCCTGGCCTCGAGCGTGCAGGTCACTGTGTAGAGATAGTGGCAGTCCGGACCGTGGCGCGTTGAGTAACGAGGGCCAGTGTGCCCTTCTGCTGGTGACGGGAGAAGACACAGTGGCGAGTGATAAGGAAGAACAAATGTGCTGGCCCCAAGGGCAGCAGCAGTCTGGGCGCCGGCCCCCCCCCGCCCCCCCCAAGAGGCGCTGGAACACAGTATCCGCCAGGAAATGTATACACTTTCAGTTGCAGATTGCTTTTAGCAGTGTTTCAAATACAAGGTGTTGAAGCGGTAGACTGCTGAACCTTAAGTATCCAGCAAGATGTTTTGTTTTGTAGTAATATTTTTATAATAAAGTTTCTATTTGTTGAATACTTAGAAGTCAAAAGCTGTTGTAACTATTTTACACTGTATGATCCTATTGACTCCACAGCCTTAAGAGACAGGATAGGGAGATGTGGAAACTGAGGCCTAAAGTCACTTATTCAGCTGCTGAGTTGGGATTTGAGCCTTGTTGGTTGACCCCGGGGCGCCCAAATTTAATATTTCACTGTGTTAAACTGCCTGAGCTGCTAATCTCGTAGACTAACTCATGGGTCAGTGGTTCTTAACCTTTTTTGGGGGGGTGGGGGAGATCTTAGTTCCCCTCTGAAAATCCAGGGAAACTGTGGACCTATCCCTTCCCATCTCATCACCACCAAGAAGACATACGGAGCTGAGATGTCGGGCCTGGCTCCTGGTGCCTCGCAGACCCAGCCTGGGGCCCAGCTCACCTCTGGACCAGCAACCTTCGGTCGTTCTCATCCTGCGGCACACAGGGCCTGGTTACAGAAATTCTGTAGCGCACCGAAGAATATGTCCTCTGCTGACCTGGCAGAAACATAGGCGTAATTTTGATTCATCCACACCAGGTGGCTATTGTTGTGTCGGCTGTTGTCCTTTTTTATTTGACAGTCTAAAGGAAAACAGGTCAGTGCCCCTGACCAAATGGTCAGATATTGCATGTTTTAAAAATTCTTGAGGCATTCTGATTGAAAAATCGCTGTTCTAGATAGGTTATTGCTCTTAGAAAGGGACTTGGACTCCTGGCTGGTGTGGCTCAGTGGGTTGAGTGCTAGCCTGAGAATCAAAGGATCGCCCAGTTCAATTCCCCGTTAGGGCACAGGCCTGGGTTGCAGGCCAGGTCCACAGGGGTGGGAGGGGCACAAGAGAGGCAACCGCACATTGATGTTTCTCTCTTTCTCCCTCCCTTCCCCTCTCTAAAATAAATAAAATCTTAAAACGAAATGGACTTAGACTTTATTAAGAACAGTCTCTTTCTCTTATTTTTAACCAATAGGTAGGAAAGGCCCAACTCTCTAAAAGATGAGCCCATGTACTGTTTGTATGATAAATTATTTTGTCAGATTTTTATATTAAAAGATTTGTTACACTTCACTGAAAGTTTGGCTTTAGGTGCCACAATAAAAAAAGTCAGCAACAGAGAACTCAGGTTTGTAACTTGCTAAATGCTCATCAGACTTGGTGTTCAGTCCGTGCTGGTACCTTTAGCGCCTGGCAGGATTCCACTGGGTTTTTTCCCAAGGTTTATATACTATGTTTTTCCCCTTTGGAACTTATAATATTTATACAAATACATATTTAGTGTTTCTTGCCTTCATCCTTTTTTCTTCTTCTGGAGCCAGTGGTGGTCAACCTCTGCTGGGCCTCAGGACCACCTAGAAGACCCCCCTGCCAAAGCTTCTGACTGGGCGGTCTGGGCACAGGGCCCAGGGGTTTGCCTTTCTGACACGTCCCAGGTGATGTCGGTGTTGCTGATGTGAGGACATGTTTCAGGATCGCTGTCCTAAAAGATCAGACCCTGTGCCTCTAGTCCGTGGGTGTTTCTGTTTTAGTCTGAAGGAAATCTTAGTTTGCTCAGATTTCTTTTAGGGGAAGCTCTGTATAGTGAGTTTTTGACACACACGTGATATCTACATGGTCTGTATTTTCTTGGTAAATTTGTTCATGTTAATAGAAAGTCAAAATGTAAGAAATGTTATTTATACACCTTGCTGCAATCAAGCTCTGTCCCTGTAGGCAGCCTTTAAAATAGGATAGAAGTTTCAACAAATTGCCCATCACACTCCCTGGTGGCAGAGTTCTGAGTGGAGGATCAGGAGCTCCCCTGCCCAGCTTGCGTGACCTTGAGAAGGGCCGGCCGTGCTGCGGCCGTGAGATCACACGCGAGTGCCCGCCTTGGCAGGTCTGGCTGGCAGCTGCTTCACTCACATGCAAAGTAGCACTTCCCACCCTCTCTTTCCTGGTCTGCGTGGGCCGGGGAGGGAGCTGGAGCCAGCGTCTTACCGTGTGTGCGTGCGCTTGTGCTGAGGGCTCTCGCTCACTGCACGGAACAGCACCCTTAAGAAACCACTCAGAGCTGAGTGTGCTAGTACGAGCGTGCCAGTGTCTTATTCACTTACTGTTATTATCTGTAGTATTGACACACTGGCTGTATTACTAACATAATAGTATAGTATTTCTGCTTCACAACTTCTGTACTTGATAATGAAATAGGCTGTCTGTGCCTGAACCTGTATCTGAGTTGTCTTTGAGTTATTTTACATAAAAACCTAAGTGTAGAAAACAAGTTTAGTGAAGAGGTACTGGCCTTCATTTGTACCTGTGGTTGTGTTTTTCATCACAGACAAGTGTGTGCAGAATTATCTTGGGCGATACGCTACGCGGTTACCTTTGTTGTGTCTTGCAGTTCTGGGACTCTTGGGGGTAGGAGGCCGCACACCACACTGGCTTTCCAACGGTCGGAAGGCCTGTGGGCACCTGCCCCCAGCGTTCAGACAGGTGTGGATAGCTCTCAGCCCTCCCACAGCCCGTCGTGCGTCTTGTCGAGGGCAGAGAGACGTGACAGGTGTGTGCAGGCCCTGCTTGTGACAGCCACACCGGGCGGGGACGCTGGAGCCCGCATGTCATGGGGGGTTTGGAGCCATCGATCTGTGAACACCTACAGTATGAAATCAGGGCGAACTGCGAAAACAAACTGACCTCTGTTCCTTCTGTTTAATCTCAGAATCCTAGAGTGCAGAGCCCTCGTTGCCCCCCTCAAACCCGCCATTTGTTTCTGTTCGGAAAGGCTTCCGTGGGAGTGCGGTCGCAAGGGTGCCTTTGGTGAGAGCAGCCCCTCACACGGTGGAAAGGGAAGCTGGAGCTCTGCGGGTGTGTCTCCTTCGCGCTTTGGCTTTCGAAGCTGAGAATGTGGGGTCGCGCCGCCATGCTGACAAGTGTCTCCGTCCACCCCCTTGGGGGTGGACACACTTTCGCAAGGGTCTTCTCCAGTCTTTTTTTCCCCCCTTATTTACTGATAGGCACTTAGGTTGCTTCCAGCACTTGGCTATTGTGAATTGTGCCGCTGTGAACTGGGGTGCATAGGTTCTTTTGAATTGGTGTTTCGGGCGTTCTTCACTGCTGATGGGGAACTGTGGGTCACTTGTCCCTTTGCTGACCAGAATGATCCTACCCCGCAGTACCTCGATAGGGCAGGACCTGTAATACATCAGGAAGTGAACAAACACTAAAAACATCAATAATGGCCGCCAGCGTTTGACATGCCCACATTACAGAGACGCCGTGCTGCCGCCATTGCAGGGGTTTCGTAGCGCTGTGACTCAGTGTCCAGCACCGGACGCATGTTCTAATTTCCTGTGCTGGGGCCTTCATCTGGGACAGCGATGTTGGCCGGGCAGGCTGCAAGGTCTCATCTTGTATAGATCCTAATTCTACCTTCACCTTAGGTGCTGCTTTTCAGGTAAAAGATCCAGCTGGGATTCAGTGCAAGGAGGTGTCTCCGTGACTCACTGGGCTGCCAGCTGATGCAGGGGTTCTGAAGACGAGCCTCTCGTGTGTCATTCCAGCTCTTTGCTCGGTGGAGCGGCCGTGGCTGGGTGAGCGCTCCCCGTCTGAAAGGCCAGCCTGCCCCCGAGCCCCGCGCACTCCTGTGCACGTGCTGCTGAGGGCCGCGGTGTGAAGGCCTGGGGTGGCTCCGTGAGGACACAGGATGACCTTCTCATCTGGGGCAGGAGTCTTGAGTTGGCTAGAGAGCCGCTCGGTCCCCTCACCCGGCTTTGACCAGGAAGGCCTGTGGGAGGGCTCGTTGCCAGGCGTTTGCGCACAGGGTGCCCGGTGTGTGGGGTGTGTGGGGCTCTGCCGCCGCCGCCGGCCCGGCGGGGGCCATGGGAGAGGCTGCTGGGGTCTTTGCTCAGCAGAACAGGGCCACTTGCCTCTTGTGCACAGACGCTGAAAAAGGCCCTGGGTGCCCACTGGTGGGCCAGCGGGTCTCTGTCCCCATGGAGCCTCCAGTCCGCTGACCAGCCTGTACCTCAATCCATTCTGAAGGGCCCACATTTTAAAAGCGAACTGGAATGTGTGTGTTTCTGCAGGGTCCGGCAGAAGGAGCGCCCCTGAGTGTGGTTGGGAGGGAACGTGAGTGTCTCGCTCGAGATGGACAGTGATTTGAACATTTCACCTTAAATGGCATGTGGTGTGCTTGAGTATGATATTGTTAATGTCACAGAATTACATGCTTATGATTTTGCAATAAAAGATTTGTTATAAATTACCAGCGTATAGAAAAAGGGCATATTGGTGCCTGACCCTGTATATACTGACATTAACATAGATATTTAATACAGGACAATGTGGACAAAAAGTAGGGTAAAAGGGGGAAGAAAGGAGAGAAATGACAGCTCTTCACAAACGTTTTATGCTTGTCATGTAGAAGGATCAGAGTAAGGTGTTGTTTTGAAGGCAGAATTCAGCTTTGTACATTTAAGACTATTTTAACTTCTAGTCATTCAGTTGACAGGTATAGTGGGTCCTCACATAACATCGTTGTTAGTTCTGCGACTTCAGGCAGAACGACGTAGAGTGTGACCATTTTTATCATCGGCTAATTGATACACATTGAGTTGGGTTTCTCTGGCATCTCATCAACGTTGTCATGAAATGACGTTGAAGGAAGTAAGATGCCGTCAGAGGACCCGCTGTATCAGACGCTGGAGGCGCAGCACCGATAAGCCACTTTCTCTTGCTGAGCGGAACGTGTGGTCTGGCAGGGGAGACATGGTCAGTAACGCATGCACCCGTGTAATTGGGCTGTGGTAGCGGACGCAAAGAAATAGAGGCTGCTGGGAGCACCCTGCAGGGGTCCTGACCTCGTCTGGGACTTGGGAGTGCAGGGACGTGTAGGCCTCCCTGACGAAAGGAACTTTTAAGCTGAGATTTTAGGGGTGAAGTCTTAGCTTGAGGGACAGCAGGTCCTGAAATGGGGGTGGGAGTGGCTGGGCTGAGAGACGGAGGAGCTAATGGGGCCTCTTGGCAGGGGGTGCTGGGGCGATGCAGGCCTGTGAAGGGCCTGGCCAGCTCCATGCTGGAGCCGCCCCCGGGGCCCCGGGAGTGAGTGCTCTGCAACGCATGACGTGGAGGGCGGAGGGTGCGCCCGCCTTCAGTCCCTGCACAGCCCTGTTTGGGGGAGGCCTCCATTCTTCCCGCCTCTCAGGTGAGGCAGCGTGTGGTGGGCACCAGAGATGTATGATAAATAGCCAGAGCCATACAGCTCGTAGGTGGCAGAGCCCAGTCGGCCACTGGGGACCAGCGGATTCTGGAGCCTCTCCGAACCATTTCCTCTCCATTTGTTTATGGCTCTGATACAGACAGTTAACAAAAGGCAGAGGTTACAAGTTCCACACAATACAAAGAATTTCCCAGCAACCAGCTGTCCAGACATGTAGACTGGGAGAGGCCGGTGTGCCCAGTGAGTGCGTGTGTTCCGGGGCGAGCAGAGGGCCACCTGTCAGAGCCAGAGCGAGAAGGAGGTGGGGCCCGGAGGATGGGAACTTCTCTGGTGGCCTCTGGGTTCCTCCACGGCAAGGTCACTATGCACGTGTGTGTGTTTTTTTCCCTCCAGTGACCATGAAGGACACCAGGTTGACAGCACTGGAAACTGAAGTACTGACTGTTCTCAGAACAGGTAAGGGACCAACTCGGTCCGCTGGCCGGGGAAGGCAGAAGGGACCGGTCATCTTGTCCATGGCTGTACTGGTGCATAGATGTTTCTTTGCACACAGGGTTTACCATTTATGGTTTCACCTGCTTGCCAGGAACTGGACCGTCTATGGCATGAAGTAATCGGTCAAATTACTGATGATTATTAATTGCTTATTTAGTGCCAGGCACTGTTACGCGCATTACTTTTCTTCTTCACAACCACACTGTTTCCCCTTTTTCCAGATGAAGACTCGGACTCTGGGATGCTAGCTAAGTTTTCTGAGGCTGTGTGGCTGGTTCCTAGGGGGCCCATGACTCGGATCAGTTCTGGCGACCGTGTCAGGCTTTTCCCACGAGCTGAAACGGAAGCCTGTGTCGGAGCCGGTTGTTTAACGAGCGCAGGGGTTCCCCACCCAGGCCGGGCTGTAGAAGTGCACTCGGGTCTGTAAACATACATTTGGCAAAACCAAATGTATTGCCCGGGCCCTGCCCGTTGCCCTGCCCTGCGGTGGGGCCCGGGCCGTGGGGAGGTTCTGCAATGCGCATCCTGGGCCGCGAGAGCCCCTGAGCGGCCGGGTTAGCGCTGCGTCTTCACCTGGCCTTGTCTGTTGATTGTTTTCGGATACGCTGTGGTGGGTTCTGGGAGCTGGAGGGCGCTCAGAGTCCCAGGGTGGCTCCCTCCTGAACAGGGAGGCACTGGCGGCACTGGATTCCTGCGGGGAGCGGTAACTCTTAGTGGCCTGACCGACCGCTGAGCTGGGGTCAGGGTGTGTGGCCGGAGCACCGCGCGGCAGCACCGCTGTCTGGGGCAGGTGCTGGGGTGGGTGGGGGTGCGGTCTGGGGCCTGTGTTCACAGGCAGCCATGGCACACCCTTAGCTCCCCGGCTGCCTTGCCTGAGTCGTAGGAGTTGTGAGACAAGGAGGAACTTCTGTCTTGCATATCGACGTCCGTTCACAAGTAAGGACGGAATGTAGACTGTCTGACAAGATGGAAGCGCAGTCCGCACGAGCAGAGGAGGCTTTCTAAATTTGTCTTTTCATTTAAAATTCTTCTGTGTGTAGTTAACATGGTCCCTCTTTTTAGAAACCCGCTGAATATGAATTTGAACCCGTGTCACTGGTCGGGTGTTCCTGTCATTGGGGCCCAGGCTGAGTATCACACATCAGAAACCTCAGATTTTATGAAACATTTTTTCTTATTACAGTTGTGTTACAGTGGATTAGCCAGACGTTTCAGGTTTGAAACTTTAATTCAGGAAAAAGACTTTGTCGCGCTCTCAGCTGCCGGGCGGTCCCCGTGGTCCCTGGGGCACATGTGACACTGAGCGAGGCCACCTCCAGCGGCTGCAGTCGGCGCCTGCCCAGGAGCGGCGCCCGCCAGCTGCTCTCTGGAGGGAAGCTGTGCCTGGGCCGTGCAGGGCGGCCTCTGTGGCGGTTCGGCCAGCTTTGCCTTCCCTTCCAGCCTTCACCGACGCAGAGTGACGCGGAATGGTCTCTGCAAAGTGTTTTGGGAGGTCTGTTTTGAAATTCATTAAGTGAGTACAAAATGGGAATGAATATTTTATTTTTTTCTTAACGCTTTTTTTTTTCATACTCTTTGTATTCTTTATATTCGGCCTGGAAATGGTTTGTCATGGACGCTGTGGCATGTGATTTTTGGATTTTTTTCATGACTTAATAATATTCAGGTGACACGTAGACGTTTTATTTTTGATTCATCCTCACAAGATGTGAAGTATTTCCAAATACGACTTTCTTGAAAGACTGCAAGCTGAATGCAGTTCTTAAGTTTATTTTGTTTGTAGTAATAAATGCTGAAAAACACAATTTTATAAGAGTTAAAATTAAAATATAATTTCCACCATTTAGCTAGATGTTAAAATTTTTGTAAATACTGGGCTCAAAGAATAATTACTGTTATTTATAAAGTTATATAGCTAATCCACCTCATTACTGTTTGTATTATTAGTTAATATGTTTAACGGTTTGAAAGTTAACTGATTTTGAATATAAAAGTCACATCATTAACAAGTTTTTATTTTTGTAAATATACATTTATACTTAAACTGACATAATTTCAACCTATTAAATACAAAATTTGCATGTTATTTCTAGAATATTTTATCTTCATTTGAAAGCGAGTATTCAGATATTGATAGTAATTCTAAGTGCATGCCTGACATCATGTGATTAGATGATTTGGTGACAACACAAGCATACGGTTGTCAATCAACCACATGTGCGCGCACACACATGCACACACACGCAGTTAGGGGAGCCAGGAGTGCTGCTTCTAAAGACCATGGCCACACATAGCCAGGGACCATGTTTTGGCCAAATACAGAGACTGAGACCCGCAAGACAGCCCGCCCCCAAGGGGGTGGAGGAGAGCGTGCTGGGAGGGGCCTGTTGGTGCAGAGGCCCTCGGCCCGGGTCGCCCTCCCCGGGTTCTAGGAGGCAGAGACCGGTGCAGAGGAGCAGAGGAGCAGAGAGCCGGAGCGGCGTGAAACGGAGGCGGAGGGAGGCTGGGGGCTTGCCCACGGCCCAGCCACGTCGGGCCTCGGAGGCCACTCGCGAGTGTGGCTCCTCATGGCTGCGTGGGTAGCCGAGGGGTGATTTTAAACAGCAGGGCGATGGAGCGTTCCATCCTTCAGAGTTTCTTCTTTGGTGGCAGATGAATTGCAGGGGAGCGGGATGCAAGCAGGATGGTGGTGAGGGCTCGCTGCTGCCTTGTCTCCGAGGGCGATGGTGGGGACTGGGGCTGGGTGACCTCGGGGTTGGTGACATCAGTGATGTGCTGATGGGTTAGGTGTGAGGTCAAGAGCTGTGGAAGTGACAAGGATGTCCCCTAGGTGTCTGCTCTAGACCGATGGTTGTGCCTTTTGCTCAGACGCAGGAGACTGGCAGAGGGACAGGTTTGGGGCAAGCAGTGGGTATTGAAGTCGTGGCTCCTTAGTATAAATAGCCTCGTCTGTAGCACGGTACCATGGCACGTGGCCACCAAAGATAATATGTCGGTAGAACGCGGCCTTGGCATGGAGCTGCCGAAATGAATTAACGCAGATGCTGGCTTCTGGCTCTCCTGGCTCCTCTCTCTTCTATGCTTAGCTCTTTCCAGATGGAAGGGAGACCCTCACGGCTGGACGTGAACGTTCCATGTGCATGTGGCGCTCCGCTCCTCCGTAAGCTGCACGTGCCTCTCACCCACCCCCAAGGCCAGTTCACGTTGGTCTCCTCCCTCCTTGGTGCACCTGCTGAGCCACAGCCATTTCCCCGCGCACGCACCCTCCGCATCCCCATCGCTGCCCTCGCCACGTCTGTCTGCCCCCTGTGGCACCCTGCACTTAGGCCCTCAGGGAGCATTTGCAGGAGCTTAAAACGGAGAGGTGTTCCCATCATGGGACTCGTTCCAAAAGCTTGTGACTTAACTCTTGTGGGGGCTTTTAGAAGGTCAGATAGCCTTGAACTTGGGTTACTTAAGTGAAGAGTCTCACACAAAACCCAAGCTTTATTATTTTTTTCTGGGGATTAGAAAACATGGTTAACAGGTAGAATTTTAGACCGAAAAGAAAAAAGCTTGTTGCCAAAAATCTTCTAATGTGTTTTAGGTAAAAACCTCATTTTTGCTTTTCTGTAAAGGATTTGGGAAGAATAGGCTTCAGAAACCAGACTTTTATGCCTAAATTAAAGTTACAAACCGAAAACGACCTGGATCGTCCAAGCTGGTCAGCCCTGACTGCTGCCAGGTGGCCTGGACGGCCGCCGTCTTTGTCTAAGACTGAGCTTGTGTCCCTGTGCTCAGGCTGCCTGCCTGGGGAGGACCAGCCCGGCAGGACTGCCCTCCCAGCACACAGCAGGCATCTGCGTCTTGCGGGCCTGAGACCAGGTGAGGGGCGGTTCTGCTGGAACAAAACCAAGCTTAGTGACGAAACACTTTTGAATCTGCGATCATCGGTGATTACCTGAAGTAGAAGTGAACACGGGGCTAGGAAGGTAAACGTGGTATTAAAGGGTCCTCTGGTAAGTGGTCTTCCAAAGGTACGGACCAGTTCTCTGCGTGATAACCCACAGCACCGCCCCGTGAGTGTGTGTTTGTGCCAGGCGCTGTGCTGAAGCGAGCGCCACGCTGCCTCTCACTGAAGCCTCTCCCCAGCTGGCCGGCCGGCGGTGTCTCCACCGAGAGCTGCGATTTATTTAATGCAGCTCCCAGGAAGGTGAAGTCTGTTCTCTTCTCAGCTGTGAACTCTAACGATAAAATCTTACCAGCTGTGAGATTTCTTAGCCCTTTGAAGTTGACTTTGTGATTCAGTTGGTTGGAGCTTCATCCCGTGTACTAAAAGTTTGCCGGTTCGATTCCCCTTCAGGGCACATACCTAGGTTATGGATTCCATCCCTGGTCAGGGTGTGTATGGGAGGCAACCAATCAATGTTTCTCTCTAAAATCAATAGTGTGTATATATATATCTATATATCTATATATATATCTCTCTCTCTCTCATTGGATGAGGATTTTAAAAAAAACAAAACCAAATGGACTTCCTGATTTACCTGTAAGATTTCTAAGTGTGACCCAGCAACTTGCTACTTTCTGATTTGCTATGAAAAACGCATTTAGACTTTTTTATAGATTTTTCTGGCTCATGAACTTCTGGTTCACCAAGAGCCAAATTCATGGACATTACCGGGTTACAATTACACAAGAGCGTGGGTGATGGGTGACACCAGTCAGTTTCTGGGGTCACTGCCACTTACCTTTGGCAGCCTTACTGGAGGAGCTTGACTCTTGAGCACAGCATTTCTCAGACAGGGCGAATGCATCACCCAGATGAGAACTGCCTGGGGTGCTTATTAAAATGTGGCTTCCTGAGCCCTGGCCGGTGTGGCTTAGCTGGTGGGAGCATTGTCCTACAGCCAAGAGGTTGCGGGTTTGATTCCCAGTCAGGACACATGCCTAGGTTGTGGGTTTGATCCCTGGTTCTGGCACGTATGATCCCCAGGCTGGGAGGCAACCGGCTGGTGCTTCTCTCTTGCATTTATGTTGCTCCCTCCCTTCCTCTAAAAGCAGTGGGGCGGGGGGGATGTCCTCAGGTGAGGACAAAAAGGAAAAAAAACAGATTCCAAAGTCCAAAATTCAGGGGGTCCAGGAAATTACATTTCTAATAAGCATCCCAAGTGATTTTGATAGACACTAAAGCTCGCTAACTTCTAGTTTAGTTTACTCAAAGAAAAACAAGTAGAAAAGAAGAGCACATTTTAATATGACTGCAAGTGACATATGTATTCATTGGCCTGGGAACTTGGCCACCTGTGTTCTGCTTTACCATGTGACCTTGGCAAGGTTATTTATCCTTTTTGAGTATCCATATACTCATTTGTAAAATAAGGATGATACTGCTTGTCTCACAGGGTTGCTGTGAGGGTCAAAACCACCAGGCAGCCTTAGGTGCCATGGGAGGGCTTGGGTCTTTGGAGCCGGGCAGACCTGGGCTCAGGTTTTACTCCTTCCCTGGTTTTGCCTCTTGCTAGCCTGGCGGCCCCAAGCAAAGGCCTGGCCTCTGTTTCCATCTCCATGAAAGTGAGGACCTCGGAGCCACCACACCACGGTGTCAAAGGGGAGGAGCCTGAGGTGTTGGTGGAAGCGCGGCGCCTGCCTGAGAGACGGTGGCCGCCGCTGCTTGTTGCTGCGCCCAGAGCGTTGGAGGCCAGAGCGGGGCTGGGGGTGCAGCCGGGCGCGCGGCCTCTCGCGAGCCCGCCGCGCTGTGTGCCTGAGGAGGCCACAGCTGTGCCGCTGCCATGCAGCTCAGAGTTCCGACGCTTTAAAGGCGACGTTGGCCCTGATGGCGCTTTCCCGAGGAGTGCACCCTCCAAGCAGGGAGATGGCCCCTGGCGCGAACCAGGTGTGGACCTGAGGGACTTGGGGCCTCGCCAGCTCTGCTTCGGACATGGAGGTGATAGGAAGAAAATCCTATGCCTCCCGTTCTTTTTCTGAAAAGAGTCTATCTAATTTTTAGGTCAATGATTTGAAAAATAAACGTAATCTTAGCCAGAACCCAAGGCAGAATCAGAAGTAGGGATAACTCAGGGCTGGTCCTCTTGTTAATAAGGCGCTGTGACCACCGGTCTGACCGGTGTCGGTGTCTCGGCTCCTCTGTCACCTCGGTGGAGCTCCTTCTCATGAGCCCGTCCCGGGCAGGGTTATGTGCACGCCCCGGCTGCACTTCCCGCGGCACCGAACGAGGGGGGGAGGAGTGGGGGGGCGTGCTGCCCTGCAGGTAGCTGTTTGTGGGAGGGGGGGACGCGACCGTTTTGTCACTCTTGCCTGCCTTCTCCTCAGTCTGGTAGTGGCACCAATGAAGAGCCTTCAGAGTCTTTAACCATTGTCCTGGGCCCGGCGCACCACGTCTGTGTGAGAAGATGGCCCAGCCCACGAACATCGGGGAGCTCCTCTCCATGCTGGAGTCCCCCGTGCCGAGTGTGCGCGAGGGCGTCGCGGCCGTCTTTAAAAAGAACCTCGATTCTGGTGAGTACAGCCGGTTCTGGGAGCCCCTCTGGGGTCACCCAGAGGTGACTGGGCTCCTGCTGAGGAGGGATGGTTTCCCCTTCTCAGGGGAGTCTTTAAAAGCGCCAGTGAGGAACACCCGTTCGCGGGTGGAGCGGCTCTGTGTGTTTTCTTCAGCCTTTAGCCGCGGAGTAGTCAACTGCGCGCATGCACGGAAGTGAGACGCTCACGATGAATCCCGTGGACCCAGCGCCTGAGTTTCTGCCACTCTTACTTCCTCAGCCTCTCTGGCTCTGCCCCTACCCAAGTATTTTAAAGGAAATCCCAGATACACATTTTATCTGTAAATTGTATGTGGTTTTTAATATGAGAAATGCTTAACCTTTCTTTAACCAGAGGAAAACAATGTGAACTGTACCCATTTTTGTTTACCAGGTTGGTAAACATCAGATATTGATCATAGAATTGGACATTGTGCCCTGGCTGGTGTAGCTTAGTGGATTGAGTGCCGGCCTGCGAACCAAACATTTTTTTAAAGTTTTTTTAAAAATTAAAAAAAAAGAAATGGACATTGTTAGCAGGAGAAAAAATTGGGGCTCAGCCTTTTCGCAGTGTCATCCACTTAAAAACGCATGCCATTTGCCCGAGCTGGCGCGTCGTGGTTGGAGCGTGGTCCTGTAACTGACAGGTTGCGGGTTGGTCCCTGGTCCGGACACGTACGAGAGGCAGCCAGTCGCTGCTTCTCCCTCGCGGCAGTGTCTCTCTCTCCCCCGTCTTCTCTCTCTGGAAAGCAGTGAAAAAATGTCCTCAGGTGAGGATGAAACAGAAAAACAGCCCCCCAAATTACATGCCATTTGCCCACTGACAAGAATTTGTATTTCATTATAGCCTCAAATGAAATATAGTCAAAAATTGGGAAAAGCCAGGCATCCTTCGGTAGGTGAATGGCTGCCTTCACTGTGTGGGGCCACGCAGCCGAGAGCAGGAGGCCAGTGCGGAGGATGGTCCTGGGCGCCGACGGGGGAGGCATCGGCGCCTCCTCGGCAGGCCGTGAGAGTGCCCAGGCGCAGGCTGTGGGCGTGCGCGTGTGCGTGCGTGAGCGTGAGTGAGATCCTACAAGTGGAAAAACATTTGAAAAGACACGCACCAAAGTCAAGGGTGTCTCTGCGAAAGAGGCGGGGAGCTAGGAGTCAGGAGGCTTTAAATTTTACGGGCTCTCAGGTAGTCTGAATTCTTAACAATAGACAGAGGTGTTTTTTTGTAATTAAAGAAGTAATAGAAAAGATAGCATTTGATGTGCTTTTATGGATATTTACGCAAATAAACTTGATATTAGCTTATGGTTAAACTTAATATAAGGAAGAAAAACTGCAGTTCGGCTCTGGGTAGCAGAGAGAGAACATTTTCTGGATTTTGTGTTAGGCAGCTCTTGGAGGTAAATTTAGCACTAAAGGCAATAATGACAAGAAACTGCCCTTTTCTTTCTTTAGACCGCGGTCCAATGCTTGTGAACACCTTGGTGGACTATTACTTGGAGACCAGTTCTCAGCAAGTGTTGCACATCCTGACGGCCTTGCAGGAGCCACACGATAAGGTGACCGCCAGGGCACGGGGGCAGCTGGGAGGTGTCCTGGCGAGGGCTGTGCCGGCTGCCCCGTGCGCCCGCCGCAGAGGGCTTCGTGCCCAGGTTATCGGCACATGTGTGGGTCACTTGCGGGGCCTACGTTTCCGGGACAGTTTACACAATTAAATAAATTCAGAGGCTTTTTCAGACCTTGCTGTTTAAGGCAATTGTGGAAAATCAGTCCTGTGAGTGTGTAATGCCCCTTTGATCCATAAAGTGCCCCTCGCTAAACCCACGCTTTGAGCAGGGTTTTCGACCTCTCATCAGTTTGGGAAAATCTTAAGTGCCAATGACTAAGGGGCGATGCCAAGGGATGAGGCCCGCTCCCCAGCACGTGAGGGTCCTATATTCTGCTCCTGCCCTTATTTTGTTGGTGATTGGCAGCTAATGGCACTGTAACAGCAGACTTGGAGACGCCTTGACTTCGTGTGCTGGCGACTGAGCCAGAGCCGGGCAGCCTCGCCATTGTCTGCCTTATCTTTCTCACTCTGGGCTGAATTTTAACTTGTGCTATTGCCTGATTGCTATTTGGGGCCAAACCATGGTGCTACTGTAGCAGTAAGTTACTGCTTCCAGCAGGACCCCCTCATGGCTTCAGCAGCTGCCGCAGGCTGGGGACCTGTGGTCATGGTAATAAGTGGCCTGTTCGTACTTTAAAAAGGGGGTCTGCGAAGGAGCGTCCTGTGGGTCTGCGGCCCCCGCCTCCACCCACAGACCCGTGTTACAGGGACCCGCTTTCAGGAGGTGCAGACTGGCTGTCCTCTCAGGCCAGAGGCAGCAGCATTTTGTTTGCCACATGGTTTAACAAATCTTGAATGGGACCTCTGTACCTGCATGACCGTTGCCCGGCATCGGGAGGCCTGGGGGGGCCGGTCCATTGCTGTCACCCGTGTTTCTGTGAGCCTTGTGTGTTCGTCGACGGTTTCCCTTGGCTCCCTCGGCCTGCCCGCCCCCCTTTATTGAGCTATATTTCTGTTCTTTCACATTTTTAGCACCTCTTGGACAAGATGAACGAATACGTGGGCAAAGCCACCTCTCGGTTACCCATCCTCTCGTTGCTGGGGCACGTCATTCGGCTGCAGCCGTCCTGGAAGCATAAGCTCTCTCAGGCGCCTCTTTTACCTTCTTTACTGAAATGCCTCAAGGTACGCTGTTGGCGAGGGTTCACATGCCATGCCTTTGTGCGTGTGGTTTCTGACATGCTGAGTCAGTTCAAGCAAGCGAGCAGCTAGATTTTAACTTTGAGAGTTTGAAAACTTCTAGGCGGTTGGTGTTTCTTGCTGAATACCAGTGTCGGGACTGAGCACGCTCTCAATGCACAGCCCACGGACTGTCGAGGAACCTTTATCTAAGCAAATCTGGTAACGTTTCCGTCAGGCCAGTTCCACATCATTCATTCCAGCGCTCTTCGATGTCATCCTTGCTAGTAACCTTCCCTCAGTTAAAAACGTGCTGCTTTGTCTTTGCCCCATTCCTCAACTGCTTCTTAGCTTACAGGGACAGGGCTCAGAAGTCCCTTTAACCATGTAGGGGCCTGTCCAGGTCACAGCTCCAATTGAGATGCCTACTGAGTTGCATTCTACTTTTCTGCACTACCTTTAGTTTTTCTACACAGTCAAAACCTGAACAGAACTGTCCGGTTTGGGTTTCGGTAGCGGCTGGCTGAATGGCTCCGGGCCCTTTGCGTAGTCTGCCCTAGTCCCTGGACTTGCCTCTTGTCTGCGAAGCAGGAGGACGAGGTCACGGTGGGTGGCCTGCCCTCACGGAGGTGCAGGAAAGCCCCGCGGGGCCCGCCGCGGCCAGGCAGCGCCTTGGGTCTGCCCCGGACAGCCCCCTGCAGCGCCATTTTTGTCTCTGCCAACAAGGGAGCAGACTGCTTTATGATCCCTGGAGGTGGGTCCCAAGGAGTCACACTGATAGGTTGTCATAAAACCAGGCATGTAATATTGGGGAAAAAGCCAGGAACAATTTTAACAACTTAATTTTTTTTGAACTACTGGATTGATGAGGCTATAATCCAATTTTGAAGCACACCATTTGGTTCGGATTGCAAGACTGCTACTGTTTTCCAAAATGGTAAGCCTTGGAAGTTTCTCATGGGCTGCCACCCAAGGCTCCAGGTAGAATGTTATAAATATCAGGGTTAGTCCTTTTTACTGGAACTCATTGTACATTCTACCAGTGTTGTATGTTCTTCTTACTAGATCCCCACCATAACGAAAGGCGTGGTCCGTGATGTGAAAACTAAACGTATTTAAAACTTCATTTCCAGACTAGCTCACAGACCCCTTCTTCACTAGGAGCGATGGCTGTCTTAGCTGCCGTGGGGGTCTTTGGGTAACTATCTCATTTCTTAAATCTGAGCTCCAGTTCCTTGGCGAACGGTCATGACTTAATTATGGGCCAGGTGAGCTGCTGTCGCTAGTCTAGGTGATTTATTATCCATTAGGTATCAAGTGTCTTCAATTAGCCTTAAGTTATATGACTCGATATTTAAATCATAGGCATGGTGAGAAGTCATGACCTCATCTCTTATTTGCTGATTTCCAAACAGTGTGAAGGTGAGCCATTAAGTGGACTTGTTAGTACTGTACTAATTTCTTAAGGTTCCACTTCTGTCATAATCCTTTAAAAAGAAGTATACTACTTGTCAAAGTTTAGTATGTTTTTAAATTGATTTTTAAAATAAATATTTTAGGATTTGGTTGAAAGAACAAAAACAGCAATGTTCTTTTGTTTTGTTAAAAAGCAGCTTCTGGGAAGAGTGATATAAGGTGGTTAAATGGTAATGGAAAAAAAAAAACATTCAATTTTAAAAAAAGCAGCTTCTCTGGCTTCCACTGAGTGCTCTAAGAAGGACGCCCTGGGGCGGCGGCACATCGGGGGCCAAGCCAGGGGATGCCCCTCGCCCGTGTGCCTGTGTCCGGCAGCCCGGGCTGGCCCTCAGCACTTTTCCTGCAGGCTCTGCCTCAGTGCTGTCCCTCTCAGACCTCGGGGCACTAAGGGCCGTCGGGGCAGGGAGACGAGTCCCAGGAGCCTCTCTCCTGAGCTCCCTGGTATTCCGCACCACGCGCCGTGCTGCGCCTCACAGCTCTCTCTCCCTGCTCGCCTTCCCTGTGCAGGTGGACACTGATGTCATCGTCCTCACAACCGGGGTCTTGGTGTTGATAACCATGCTGCCAATGATCCCTCAGTCAGGGAAACAGCACCTGCATGACTTCTTTGACATCTTTGGCCGTCTTTCATCGTGGTGCCTAAAGAAACCAGGTAAAGGTCTCCCCGGGCACCTGGCGCGCCCCACCCAGCGGACGTTCTCATGACTGAGGAGCGGACCGTGGGCTGCCAGGGAAGGACACGGGACGCGGGTGCCGTCTGTAGTCGAAGAGGAAGCGGCCTGGATGCGGCATCCACTGCGGGCAGAGAGGGGCGCAACTGCGGAGGAGGCTTTGTTCTCCTGCCGGCCTCCAGGGCCGGTGGGAGGTGAGGCTTCCTGGCTTTGAGCGAATGGAAGAGCAGCGCAGTGGCCTGGAGTGAGCCTGGGGAGCGCTCCCGCCCCCGCCCCCGGCCTGCTGTGGCAGAGCGGAGCGCTGGGCTCCAAGGGCCTGTGCAGGTGCAGGTCGTCCTCTCGCTTGAGATGCAGTGCGTCCCCGTCTTGGCAGGTAGCGCAGCTCTGTCAGAGCGACGCGGCAGCTGGAAGCTGGGGAACGTGGGATTGCGGTCGTCCTGCACGCAGCGTTCACGCCGACGGGACGAGATGCGCGAGCCAGGGAGGCAGGGGCCTGGGGCTGCGAGCACGGCCTGGCCCGTGGGTGCTGTGCTCTGTAGTCGGCTTTCCCCGGGGGTGAGGCGGGGCCCTCACTACTGGGAGGAGCTGAGCGTGCGCTGTGGACTTGGGGCGCCCACTGGGCCCAGGTGTGGCTTGGTGAACTCAGTCCTCTTCCCTCCACCCTTAGCTCTTTGTGATGCTCGTTTCAGGACAGTAGTTTTTTCTTTCTATAGTTAAGAAATTTAGAAAGCTAAGACTACGTACTGATTTTAAAAGGCTCTCACACACTTGTTCACAAATGTCATGCACTTGCACAGTGCAAGGCCCTGAGAGCACAGAAGGAAGATGGTGCCTCTGTCGGAGGCCACATGCTGAGCAGGACGATGGATGGGGGGATTAGAAACGTCAGGGACAGCGGCCGTTGTTATAAAGGCCGCCCGGTAGTGGGAATGTCTGGGGTCTCTGGAAGGGGTGAGTGGAGAGGAGGGCAGGGACGAGAGTGGCCAGAGCCTTGGGGTCACGTGACGTGGATTGGCATGCACCCAGAGGCCGCAGGGAGCCACCAGTGGATTTTCAACAGGGCCGCCTACTGTGCTCACATTAACGTGTAGAAACCTCCCCCTTTCTGTGGAGCAGGTGGGAATGCCCACCAGCAAGGGGTCCTGTGGCAGTTTCGGCCACGTCTGCCCTGTACCCGCCAGTCCTGTGTCTGGCTCAGAGTCTCCCCTCGGGGGCTTTCTTTCCAGGCCACGTGGCAGAGATCTCCCTAGTCCACCTCCACACCAGTGTTTACGCGCTCTTCCACCGCCTCTACGGGATGTACCCGTGCAACTTCGTTTCCTTCCTGCGCTCTCACTACAGCATGAAGGAGAACTTAGAGACCTTTGAGGAAGTGGTCAAGGTGCGTGAGAACCGCTCAGACAGGCCGCAGCTGTAACTTTTGTATTAAATGGTAGATGAGGGAATTTTGAAAAGAAATCCCACCTTCCTCCCAAACCAAGTCCCCCAGACCGAGCCCCCCGCCCAGCCCTGGGTAGCCACTGATCTACTTCCTGCATTTATAGTCTGTCTGTGCTGCACATTGCACACAAAGGGAATCCCATGTTGTGAAGTCTTTTGGGACTGGCTCCTTTCACCTTATACAGCGTTAAAAGGTTCATCCGTGTCGTAGCACATATCAGCATTCTTTGTTTTTTATTGTCAAATAACATTTTGTTGTGTGGAGATACCACAGAAGTTAAGCCATTTTCTTGTCAACTGGTCCCTTCCAGCCAATGATGGAGCATGTGCGGATTCACCCAGAACTGGTGACCGGATCCAAGGACCATGAACTGGACCCTCGGAGGTACGGAAACACCCTGCGCTGTAGTTCACGGAGTCTCTCGGGAGACGGACAGTGGGATCTAGGACATGACGTCCTTCCTGAGGAGTTTCTGGAGAGCACAGGTCCTTCCGCTTAGGGGCCGAGTCCGCCTGGAAGGGCGCGTGCGCGTCTGGAACCTGTTCCTGGCCGACAGGCTGGAGCGCGTTTCGCAGAGCGGAGGCAGCCGCCATGCAGACGCACGCCCCGCAGGGCCCCGGGAGGGCTGCCTGCGTGGTGGGCACTGCGGGTGGGCGCGGGGGCCGTGGGAGGCAGGGGCGGAGGGTGTGGCTGAGACGCGTGGCTGTGCGGAGTCTCGGCGGAGTCCAGCCTCCCAGGTTCCCTTCCTCCCCGGCTCCGCGGGGCCCTGCGGAGCCCAGCTTGTTCCCTGGAGGGCGCTCACTGGAGGACACCAGGCCCAGTGCTGCCCACCCCACTGGCGGTCCTTGTCGTTGTGCTCACATTCTGTTTTTCCTCTGTACTGTTGTCGTGCGTGTTGTCTCATTTGGAGAACTAATTAGGAAGCAAAGCCTGGCTCAGGACAAGGTAGTCGCGTTGCCGTCCAGAGACGGGTCTGGGAGACGAGAGCGAGAGCAGTGTCTGAATCTTGGCCCAGCTTCCCCTTCTGCAGAAGTCAGTGGGCGAGGGCACGCGTGAGTCCTGGGAAGGACGGAGCCCGCCTGGTCACAGCGCCTGGCGAGGCCCTGAGCCGCCAAGGGAGGAGTTCGCTCTGCTCGCTGCTTCTGAGCACAGAGGCGCGCGCTCTCGGGAAGGGCCCTCTGGGCGGGGTCGTCCGGGCCGGGTCCTCGGGTGGCCCAGGCAGAGAAGGCAAGGAGGGACTCCGTCCGTGTAGAATCGAGGTGAGCTAAGCGCAGATGCGTCTTCTAGTCCAGGGTGGCCCAGACGCTCCGTCCCTCGGCGCAGAGCAGCCCAGTGGCAGCGGGAGCCACAGTGATGGCCCGCAACACGCTGTCTCTGGGGGCGTCTGTGCGCCTGTACGGACCTCCCGGGGCTCCCCTGTGCTGCTGCCCTCCGCAGGGCCTCCGTCTCCGGTGTCTCAGGGCTTCCTTCGAGGTACACTCTTGTTTCCATGAGGCGCCGCCTCCGGTGGTGTCGGGAGAGGGCGCACGTGTGGCCGGGCCTGGGCTCCTGGGGAGGAGTCGTGCCCCTTTGGAGGCGCTCTCCCGTTGCCCCCCTTGCTTCCAGTGTCTCTGTCGACGTCGAAGACGCTCTGCTTTTTGATCGTCTGCCTTTGCTGTGCTCTTCCTTGTGGAAGCCTGCGGAATCTTCCCTGTTTTCATGATACTCTGAAAGTTCCTGTGAGGTCCCTTGGTAGGAGTCTATTCTTATTGTTCAATCTGGGCTGTTTTTCTGTAAACGTGGGAACACGAAGATGAAAGTCTATTGGGTTACTAATTATGTAGAAACAGGTATAGCAAAATTGTATTGTCTAAGAGAAAGATAGTTTGTGCTTCAGCAAGTAAATGTGTTAATGATCAAGGCTTTGTACAGCATTGGGCAAATACTGAAGAAGGAAAAGAAGAAACATCATAACTTCTCTTAATTTGAATTAGTGTGATTATATCTACTTGTGTATCTGAGTAGTTCTGTATCCTTTATTCATTTAAGATTATATCCTGAGCATTTTATGTCATTTAACCTTTGAAAGCATGATTTTTAAAATCATCTTTAGTAAGGTATAATTTAGTAAGGTGCAATAAAACTCCTCCGTTTGGACAGCAGTCACATTCACAACTGAAGACTGTTTCATTGCCCAGAATGTCCCCTCTAGGCCTCCCGCCCTCCCTCGTAGGGATCACTGGCCTGCTGGAAGCAGGCTTTTTCCTGGGGGTGTCGCAGCTTCTCCTCTGCAGACTGTATCTCTTAGGCTGGACTTCAGGTTACTTCTTTCTTCTCTATTACAAGCCATGCTGTGCTGAGTGTCGCTATGCGTCCTGGGGTATGTCTGTTTCCATAGGCCAGGTGCTCAGAAGTGGAGCCGTGGCTCATGTCACAGAATCTTTAGACAATTCTTTAAACATCCTCATGGGCTTTCTCTAGGTCTGAGACTGCTTACACCATACTGTGGTCTAGGGGTGGCTTAGGTTCCAAGGCTTGGCTTGGGGACCGTAGGTCAGGCTCACTCCCTGGCAGTTTCCAGGGCTCTGTGTCCCTTGATCGCCTTTGTTGTACAGGAGGTTTTCCCCAGTGACTGTGTCGCATCGTTCGTGTTCTGTTGTGAGGCTATGCCTGGCCTTTTGTGGGTGAAATGCTTCTTTCAGATTAGTTTCTGGTAACTCGGTGTAACCGTTTTAAATAGGGAGGACCAGGTGCGTGAGACGAGTGGCTCATCTCCCATTGATTCTCCTGGCCCTGGTGTGGTTGCGCCTCGTTCTTGGGTCTGTGGTCGGCTGGAGCCGGCACTCACATGTGTGTGACTGATGAATGGGTTACAGTCTGCAGTCCTTGCCGTTCTTTGCCTTTCACAGGTGGAAGAAATTAGAAACCCACGATGTCGTAATCGAGTGTGCCAAAATCTCCTTGGACCCTACTGAAGCCTCGTACGAAGATGGCTATTCTGTGTCTCACCGCCACTCAGCCCGCTGTCCTCACCGCTCCGCCGAAGTCACCGCCAGCCCTTACGCCGACACGCAGAACAGCTACGGTAACGGGATGGCGGCGCCCCTCAGCCCGGCCCCTGGGCTCAGAGAGCAGTGTTGGCTTTTGTTGACTTTATGTTTCTTTTCCTAGAATGAGACTTAGTTTACCTCCTAAGAGCTATTTCCAAATATTTAAAATTTGAGTTTGCCTCCACTTTGTCCTAATTCCTCTTTCAAGTTTAACTTAGTCCCATGTCCTTGACCCCCTCCCTGATGGGTCGAACACCAGCAGACCTGCTGTGCTTTCAGTACTTAGAAGAGAAAGTGGATGTCAGGCTGCACCTTGCAGGGGACCTTCCTGCTTTCAGGCGCGTGTGGCGTGGCCCCGACGGGCCTGAGGGCATGGACGGCTTGGCGTCGGGTTTGGGTAGAGGTCCAGGCCCCTCTGGGGACCGCGCCCGTGGCGCCTCCCTCCGTTGTGCCTCGCCGGGCCTCCTGCAGCACAGCCCGGCAGCGACCTTCCTGGGCTGCGCTTCCACGGGCACTTCGAGATGGTCCTTTTGTCCCCGGGGGTGTCAGGGCTCCCCTGAGATAACTCGTAGATGCAGAGAACTGAATTATATTGAAGGTCTAGCCCGGCAGGGGCGTCCAACCTGCTCGTGTCTTGGGGCCGCACTGGAGGAAGAAGAGTTGTCCTTGGCCACACGTTCAATACGTGGCAACACATAATCACAAAAAAATCTCATAATGTTTTAAGTTAATTTACAATTTTGTGCTGGGCTGCAGGTTGGACACCCCTGGCTAGAGGACCGTACATGTTTTTCAGAATAATCAGAAGGCACATGCTAACGCCGCATGCTCTTCCCCCTTCATTGCAGGGAGTGTGACGTCCGCCCCTCGCTCCGCAGCCCGGCCAGTGCTGTCCAGCACCCCGGGGCGGCTGCCTCCACCTCTGAGCTTCCCTGCGGCGCGGCTGTCAGTGGAGCCGCCACAAGTATGTTGCCCAGCAGTGTGTCCACCTGCTTCCCCGCTCACCGCCTGCTTCCCTGCTCACTGCTGGAGCTGACCGTTTGGGTCAGGATTTAGCATGTGGTCTGGGAAAATCTCACACCACTCATTTTAGAACAAGTTACCTTTAAGAGTAGATTGTATTGATAAAACCCACTTGGTTTCTCTTGGGATCTAGACTTAGAAAATGTAACTTGTCTCTTGACAAAGCTTTGATAAGAGGCCTTTCCCAGTTTGAAGGCCTGATGGCTGTGGGTATAACCCTTGGGTGACTTGACGTTCATTCCGCACTGCGGACACGCCCTGTTAACCTTCCAGGCCACGCTGTGGAGCCCGTCTGTGGTGTGCGGCATGACCACCCCGCCGACTTCTCCCGGAACTGTCCCATCTGACTTGTCACACCCTTGCAGTAAAGCCTTTGGTACAACTGGTATGTGTGTCGTAGGTTGGATTTGGGTGGTCGGTTGGGCCTGCCTTTTTTGACCAGAAACAGTTTCTTAGATGTGACGGTGACTTTGGGGGCCACCTGCGGCAGTAAACCTGATGTCGACACTTTATGCAAACCTCTGGGGCTTCTAGAACATGGGAAGTGAACCTAAAAAAAGAGACTAGCCTAGATCCCCAGAAAGTAAACTTTAGTGGCTTTCTTTGCAGTAATAGGCTGAGAATAATTCGGCAGCTTTTCTAGTAATTGGGCTCAATGTACTCTGTCCTTGTCTTTGAGCAGGTGGAAAAGGAACGCCCCTGGGAACCCCCGCGACCTCTCCTCCTCCGGCCCCACTCTGCCCTGCGGATGATTTTGTGCACGTGTCCCTCTCCCAGCCTGCGGCCATGCCCCCCCGGAAGGTATATGCGGTCTCCCTTTGCCCAAGCACAGGGCCCTCGCAGACTCATCTGATGAAGCCTGTTGTGCCAGATAGAACTTGGGTCTAAAATGGGATGCATTTGAACCAGAGCATTTGAAAATAGACTCACGAGCAGGTCTTCCTGTGTGGTCAGCTGACTCAGGGGTCCCGAAGCCCTTCTGGGAGCCCACTAGATCAGAAGTCCTTTCACAGCGACCCTTGGCTGTCCTCCAGCGGTCTGCCCCGACGCACTGAGCACGTGGTGGACAGACAGTGGAGGGTAGACAGCTGGCCCCGGGGCCCACGTCACGGCAGGCACCCGCCTTCTTCCTTGACATGTTTCAGTTAAGAGGGAAACAAAAGAACTAAAGTGTGTTCTACAGAAAGCAGTAAAAATTAGTAATTTTTTTAAGCCTCGGCCTCGGGACTGTGTGTGTGTAATGTTCTTTGTGACAAGGAGGCAGCGGCAGCCAGCGCCTCATTGCCCAGCACAGCGGTGGTGGCCGGGCCCGCGCAGAAGTTGAGGGCAGAGCCGCCCCAGCTGCTGTTTCTCACAGGGGCAGAGCACCAGCTTCATCGTAAAGGGTGACCGACAGACGGACTTTGGTTATTCAGACCCAAGTATGTGTCCGCCAGTTAGTGTCTTACATGACGAACTGAGCCCGTCGTCTCAAGCGAAACAACTGACAGTGTTTGTTGCCAGTGATGAGATTCAACCTCCAGGTGACATTAGAATATTAAAATCCTGGTATCTGCCCCAACAAGCCTGATAGCTTCCCCTAGACTTTCATGATAAGACTGAAATGCTTTGGAAAGCTTGGTTAATAATTTGAGTTTTCAGTATTGTATAGTGCAGTGTTTCAACGTATCTGTATAACGTGGTGAGCCAGTGTTTTCTAGGTGACCAAAGTATGATGATGTAGGTTCACGCGTAGGTGCAGGTGCGTTCAGGGTGCAGGGTAGGCCCGTGGACGGTGCCCGGCGTGAACAGACGATTGCCCGGTTTCAGATTTCACACTGTAATGGATCTTGGAGAAATAACCTCGTGTCAGGTTCGGGCGCAACATCAAAGATGGATATCCATGGTGACCGAAGCGCCTGCTGACATACGTTGACCACTACTTGTCTGTGGGGCCCGGAGCCTTCCTCCCATGCATTGGCCAGAGCGCCAAGCTGTGTCTACCGGAAGGCTGAGGTGGCGGGGCCCCGCCGCCCCCCGCCAGGGCCGCGCAGGGTGGTGCTTGCAGAGTGCAGGGCGGCTCTGCGCACCTCGTTTAGTTTTGGTCAGGGAATGGAAGGTTTTTTGTTTGTTTTTGCTTTTGTTTTAAATAAAAATATATATTATGTTTATAGGTAAGGGGTTTCTTAGTTTTAAGTGAACCAGTGACTTTTTAAAATTTGTTTTAATTTCAAATCCAGTAACTGTCACTAGATATAACTACGTAAACAAAAGTTCTTGGGATTCTCATTAATTTTTAAGACTGTGAAGGCATCCTGAGACAACACAGCCTGCAAACCCTTGGGCTAACCTTTAATCTTTCTAATCTAAAAATACAGACATTTGGGGTGTTTCTTTTATACCTGAGAACACACGCCCAGCCTTCGCCATGAGATGTGAATGGTGCCTGTCTTTTCAGGAGGAGAGAGCAGACTCGGCAAGGCCCTGTCTACACAGACAGCACCACATCCCAAACGAGCGAGGACTAGGTAAGGTTCCCGGTGCTGGCCGGCTGGCCAGCCGCCTGGCCTCATGTGTCTCCTGCAGCCGGGCTGTGTGGGGAAGCAGGGGAAGGCTGGGGTACTGCGAAGCCCCAGGACCTCGCGGTAACGAAGCCTGTGCTCCAGTCTAAACCCTGAGCTTATATTAGCAAAAAAGCTTTAACCTGTTGTGGTGCAGTGCCTGGTGTTGAGCTAGTCAGACTGCGATTTTATCTGTTCTGCGAGCGTGGAGACCGGAGAGCTTTATTTTCTGCAGGGTTGGTTTTGTGGCGCCTCTCGCTGGATCACTGATAGGGTGTTAGCTTTTCTAGTGGCCCCAGGGGATCCGTTTCCAGCTGCGTGTGCCGTTCAGCGGGAAGGATCATGGGGCGCCCTCTGTCGCAGCGGAAGCCGCTGCACAGCTGTGGGATCTCCAGTGTGCTGCTTAGACTTGAGTTGTCTTGGCTTCTCTTTAGAAGAGTTCTCTGCCAGCAAAGGCTCTGTCCCTCTAAGCGATCTTCCAAAGTTTCTGGGTGACCTGGCTTCTGAAGAAGACAGCCTTGAGAAAGACAAAGAGGAAGGTGCGTTGGGGGTCTGGGCCCCGACGGGGGCGCTGGGGGGTGGTGAGGCCACGGGGCTGGGTGTCACCGTCAGCGCTCCCAGGCCTGCTCAGCCTTTTTCTGGTGGGGAGAAAGGCGGAGCTCTGTCTGGGCCAGGGGCCGGGGACTGGGGGCCGGGATGCTGCTCTGCGTCTGCCCCTCTGGGCGGCCCGTTTACCGTGGTGGCTGTCGTCTCCCCTCCCCCCTCAGCGGCGATATCTAGAGAACTCTCCGAGATCACCCCGGCTGACGCTGAGCCTCTGGTTCCTCGGGGAGGCTTCGACTCTCCCTTCTACCAGGACAGCCTCCCAGGCTGCCCGAGGAAGACTCCCTCCACCGCCTCCAGCGTCCCCGGTGCCGCCGTGCACCCCGAGCCTTTCACCCCCTCCCAGGACAAGCTGGGACCTGACATGCCGAAGCAAGCCTTCATGCCCATAGAGCTGCCCAGCGCGGGCACCGACGAAGGCCCCGCTGGAAACAGGGGGCTCCAGACCCTTCTGGAGACAAGCATCCTCACACCCAGCCCTTGTAAAGTTCCGCCTCAGAGGGGCCTGGGCTTTGGGAGTGGGCAGCCTCCCCCCTACGATCATCTTTTCGAGGTGGCATTGCCAAGGACTGCCCATCATTTTATCTGCAAGAAGACTGAGGAACTGTTAATGAAAGCGAGAGGAAACGCAGAGGAAGACTACGCGCCGGCTGCCTCCCCGCTGGAGATACTGGACCGGCTGATCCAGCAGGGGGCCGACGCACACAGCAAGGAGCTGAGCAAGTAAGGCCTGGCGCGGTCCCGCCTCCTGCGGTGGCGGCTGCCACATGAGGTGGCGGGGGGTTGGGGTGGTGGCGTGGACAGGTTGTGTTCTCATCCAGGGCTGCGCGCCGCTCCTCATGTTTGGTCAGACACCCTTCCGGTCTGTCACCTTTCTTATATGCGACTCTGTGTGTCCTGTAGACGTGCATATTGAATTGGACCTTTGCTAATGTAATGTTCCATTTTATTTTTAAAAAGATTGTATTTATTTAGTTCTAGAGAGAGGGGAAGTGAGGGAGAGAAACATCGATGTGTGGTTGCTTCTTGTGCACCCCCTGCTGGAGACCTGGCTTGCAACTCAGGCATGTGCCCTGACTGGGAATTGAACCAGCGACCCTGTGCTTCGCAGGCCAGCACTCACTCCACTGAGCTGCACCAGTCAGGCTGTAATGTTCCATTTTAACATGAGTCTTTATATGTAGACTGTTGGTGCCACCACGTTATGTTTTATGTTTGTTCTCAAAATTTGAGGGTGAGGTTATGGTATTTCAAATATAGGAATATTTGTCACAGTGTCCCTCTCTGTTTAGCTACAGGTGGTCTTTCTGTTTGGTGACAGAGTTCATTAGGTTGAAGATCAAATCAACAGCCTTTCAATGCAAGTTCAGAGTGGCCCCCTCCCATCAGATGGCACACATGGTTTCTTAGAAATCTGTCATACACTTTTCAAACTTTTTTTTTAATTCTCACCTGAGGACATGTTTATTGATTTTAGAGATAGAAGAAGGGGGAGAGAGAGAGAACGTAGATATAAAAGAGAAATATTGATCTGTTGCCTCCCATATGCACCCCTACCAGGGATCAAACCCACAACCTAGGTATGTGCCCTGACCAGGAATTGAACCCGCAGCCTTTTGGTGTATGGGACGACGCTCCAACCAGCTGAGCCACCCGGTCAGAGTGCAACCTTTATTATCCTTTTCAAAGGGACAAGGGAAGACTTAATCTTCTGCCGCTTCTCAACTCGCTCTTGGGAAATGCTAGTTTTCGTTTTTCTTCTATGTAACAGTCTTAGGTAGAATTTGACAGAGGTTATAATATTCAAGACATATTTTTACATGAAATTTGGTGGAATAGGCCCAGGTAAATGACCTACTTTTCCTTTAAGCTCGGGTGACGGAAGCTTCTCGCCCCAGAGCTCTTCCTTGTGTGTGTCAGCAGAGAGGGCAGCCCTTAGCACTCGGTTGCCAGTCGCTGGCAGAGCTGAGCAAACGCACATGTGCGGAGTGAGCTTGATGTTGGGGCCTCTCCACACCAGGGGCTGGGGTCGCGTATCCTGGGGTGCGAGGCTCTTGAGGCTCCTCCGCAGACTCCAGGCGGACTTGGCGCGGGAGACTTTCTTACGCCACAGGAAGCGACCTGACCTTGCTGCCATGAGAAGTCCAGATACGTCTTTTCTAAGGTAAGATCTGTGATTTTGTTATTCCAAAATTTTCTTCCTAGGTTGTCTTTACCCAGCAAGTCTGTGGACTGGACCCACTTTGGAGGTAAAGTTGTTACTTCAGCTCCATGTGCAGCCCACATGGACCCTGCTTGTTTGTGGCCTTTTCTGTGCTTGAGGGAGGGACCCTGCAGGAAACAGATCTTTCCCTGTTGCTGCTGTTCCTCTGCGTGTGTGTCCGTTCTGTTAAAGACCATCTCAAGTGTCACACAGTCAGCATTTGCTATTTTTGAAAAGTGGCAAAGAGTGCGCACGTCGCGTGCCTCGCGGAATTGCAGAGGTGCAGACCTCACGCCAGGCTTCCCCGCACTGAGCCCCAAGCGTAGTAAATAGCACTGAGAGCTTCTTGGGGGAAGGCGTCCCCCAGAGGGAAGAAAAGGGATGTTGGAAGTGTGTCCCTGTGGTTCCAGTTCTTGGGGAGAAAGGAGAAATGCTCTCAGAGAGTCACCCCACATTATGCCCTTTGCAATCCTTTAAAAGGGAGAGAGGTGGTAGAAATTGCCGTCTCCTAATGAATGACAGGTGCTGGGGACCAAGCGGCCATTTGCAAATGGCCGCTTGTTCCTTAAAGAATTGGTTTCTCAAGCTAACGGAGCAGGGCGGGCGCTTGATTGAACGATATGTAAGAGGCACCTCTGCCACCCTCCCTCTGCTTTAAAATCAGGCTCTCCTCCCTCAGATGAGATCCGCACCCTCCGTAACCAGTTGCTTTTACTGCACAACCAGTTGCTCTATGAGCGTTTTAAGAGGCAGCAGCACGCTGTCCGGAACAGGCGGCTCCTCCGCAAGGTGATCAGAGCGGCGGCTCTGGAGGAGCACAACGCGGCGATGGTGAGCGCTGTGGGGGGGGGGGGGGGGGGGGGTCACCGCGGTCACCCCCGAGAGAGCAGCCCCGAGCCACGTTGGACTTCCTCATCCTTGCTCAGCTCACCGGGTGGCTCCGGCAGGTCACCTTATCTCTGAGGTTAACACGTGAGCAGCTGCGAGCTCCCTTGCAGATCTTGGAATCCATGGGGACAGCAGATTTTTTTGTGTTCGTGATTGGCTACGATGATAACAGGGTCAAAACATCATTTTATTTCTCCAAGTGTGAAACCAGCTCTCCTGGTGCTTTTTTTATTTTTTTTTAAGATTTTATTTATTTTCAGACAGAGGGGAAGGGAGGGAGAAAGGGAGGGAGAGAAACATCAGTGTCTGGTTGCCTCTCATGCGCCCCTACTGGGGACTGTGCCTGCAACCCAGGCCTGTGCCCTGACTGGGGATCAAACTGGCAACCCTTTGGTTCACAGGCTGGTGCCCAATCCACTGAGCCACGCCAACCAGGGTTCCTGAAGCTGTTTTATGGCCCAAAACTTGGGGCACAGTTGTGAATCCACAAGTTCTGGAGATTGGACCTTGGCTCCACTTAGGAAAGTAATTGAGCCTCCTGGAGCCTGTCACATGGTCTGTAACATGAGAGGAATAGTAGCACTTGCTCAAAGCCTGGCACACGGTGGTGTTCTGTAAATGTTCATCACTTTAGTGGCCTTAATACTGCAGCCGTGCTGGTGGTCAGACCTCTGCAGGTATTGGAGGCAACTTGATCCCTAGAAAAGTTCTTTAAGCAACTCAGTGTCCATTTGCTAATGTGAACCTTGGCAGCCCTGAGCTGAAGCCAGGTTAGACAGCAGAGCTGTCAAGGTCTGGGCCCCTAGTTACAGTTTCTAGGTAGCTAAGCCTTTGGATGAAACGTTTGCATTTGAATCTGAGCGCCACTGCCCACGTTGGAAGGCAGCTAAAATGATGACATCTTTTGTCTCTGCTAGAAAGACCAGTTGAAGTTACAAGAGAAAGACATCCAGATCTGGAAGGTTAGTCTGCAGAAAGAACAGGCCAGATACAGCCAGCTCCAGGAGCAGCGGGACACAGTGGTCAGCCAGCTGCACAGCCAGATCAGACAGCTGCAGCATGACCGGGAAGAGTTCTACAACCAGAGCCAGGAACTGCAGGTATGAGCCGCGGCGCCCACAGCCCGCCCCCACCCCCACCAGGCGCGTGTCGCGTTCCCGACGTTGGCCTGCTCATCGCAGAGGCCATGGCCGCGAGTCCCCCCGCAGGCCCGTCCCGTGCGAGGCAGAGGCTGCCAGCGCCCTTCGTGCATCCGCCGCTTTCTCCTGGCGCTCTGCGGCCCAGGCAGGCACCTGGCGGCTTTGCTTGCCACGTGGATCTGAACAGCTTAGTGACGGCTTAGTGCCTGGGTGAAATAACACGTATAAATTTAAAATTTTTAAAGGGCACAGTCGTTCACCAGAGCTGTGTGCGCACCTCTTGGGCACTGCACAGCCTCAGACCCTGGAATCGCCCTCGCGTCCTTTCTCAGGCTGGTTTTCGCCTGGTGGTGTTTATCCCATTGACCACTAGAAGCCCAGCTTTGCAAAGAGATGACGTCATCCGTGGGCCAGAACTTGTACTGAAACTGAACGACCTCCAGCCAGTAGTGCACATGATGACCACCAGATGTCGCTGTGTTTCACGCAAAAATAAAACATCCTGCAGCTTCCCTGGGAGTTTGCTGCGCAGTCCCTCCTTGCAGTTTGGGAACTTGGGAGCCTGAGGCCTTTTTGTTCCCTTGGTGAAACAAATTATAAACTGGGAAATCCACCATAACTTACTTTTTCTTAAAAAATATTTATTTTTAGAGGGAAGGCAAGGGAGGGAGAAAGAGAAGGAGAGAAACATCAGCCTGCAGTGCAGGCCTGTGCCCTGACCGGGAATCGAACTAGCAGCCTTTCAGCTTGCAGGATGCTGCCCAGCCCTCTGAGCTACACCAATCAGGGCCATAACTTTTTTAGAAAAAATATTTATTTTTAAAGAGAGGGAGAGAAACATTCATGTGTGGTTGCTTCTTGTGCGCCCTCTACCGGGGACCTGGCCTGCAACCCAGGTATATGCCCTGACAGGGAACCAGGCCAGCGACCTTCTGGTTCACAGGCCAGCATGCAACCTACTAAGGCACACAAGCCAGGGTGTAAATTACTTTTTAAAAAAACTAAGAATTAATTCCTGGCGGCCCACTGAGGAACTAGGCTCTGGCGGTGCTCTGGGGCCAGCCTGCGGTGCACTGACCACGAGGCGTCTCTCTGGGCAGACGAAGCTGGAGGACTGCAGGAACATGGTTGCAGAGCTGCGGCTGGAGCTCAAGAAGGCCAACAACAAGGTGTGCCACACCGAGCTGCTGCTCAGCCAGGTGTCTCAGAAGGTAAGAGGGGGCGGGCTGGGGCGCCTTCCTTCAGGCGGGACAAGTGTGTCACGTGCGTGTCTGTGTCGGGGTCCCAACAGGGAGCGAGTGTGCCCCGCCCTCCCAGGGGACAGTTGGCAAGATCCAGAGACGTTTTGGTTGACGTTTTTGGCGCTGTTGACATGGAGCAGGCAGGTGCCAGGGCACAGCTCAGTGCCCGCACGCACAAGATGGCCTGCCCGAGGGTGGGGACCGCCTGGGCCCTCGCGGCAAGTGTCCCGGGTGGGCGTCCCCACATCGCCTGTGCACAGAGGTGCCACATCTGTTCAGGTTTCTGAGCTGTGGTCCCTGTCTGCATGGGGTTCACTGCACGGCGACCAGCTGGTCGAGGATGTGTGAGCCTTCCCAGGGGCTCTGTCCCCTGGACGGAGGCCCCTGCTGGGGTCCTGCCCGTCGCCTCCTTCCAGGTGTCCTGCAGTGGCCCCCGTGCTGTGGCCCGTCGGTGCTGCTGCCCCTTTGCCAGCACAATTTTGAAGTGCAGTTGTGTTCGTTTTCTTCGCGCCCGACGTTTCCTCGGCACCAGCTGGGTCAGGGAGTTGAAACCACGGGAGCTGTCGATGCCGCCTCACTCGGACGTGGGGTGCGCCTGGCTGGCTCCCTGTCTGAGGACCCCCTGTTGCTTGTTCATGTGTTTTGGTCAGCTCTCAAACAGTGAGTCGGTCCAGCAGCAGATGGAGTTCCTGAACAGGCAGCTGCTGGTTCTCGGGGAGGTCAACGAGCTGTATCTGGAACAACTGCAGAACAAGCATTCGGACACCACAAAGGTAGGCTGGGTGCGGGAGCCCGGCCCTTGCTGGACGCTCGTGGGCCCCGGCGGTGTCTGCAGCAGGCCCCAGAATGGCTTTGGGAATTGTCTCCTAGCAGAGAGCTCTGCGGCCCTTGTGTCCCCTCCCATCCCACCCAGCTGAGCGACCAAGCACCGCTCAGCCCTCCCGTGAGCTTGTTTCCTGGGCCGGGTGGCTTTGGATCTCAGGTGTCTTCGAAAGTGCCCGACGAGAACTGATATAGAGGTGGTGACGAGAGTGTTGCCCTTCTCCTGCCCCAGCCCCTTTTATGGAGGGGGTGGTGGGGGTGGGGGGCCGAGGAGTCGGCTCTGAGGTATAACCCTGAGGACTGGGGCATATACTGCTGTGCGTGCCTCCTTCTTTGAACGTTGAAGTTAGTTTCAGTGGGTGGTCGTTCAGGCCTGGCGATAAGGCCAGTGCCAGGATGATCTTACGTTAATGAGCACCTCAGCAGTGGCATTGAGACAGAAGTTTTGTGTCGCTTTATAAATAGCCTCGGGTAACGTGAGTGAGTGAGTTGGGAATGGCATTTTAACAGCAGGAGCTCAGATGTTTCCTGTCACTGACTTCTCCATCACACGTGGGCTTTCTTTGTCGGGTTGCTTGTGCTGTGCTTTGTAAAGCATCTTTTTTGGCCAAACACAGTCGTCTTAGAACCAGGGAGGTGTAGTTTTTATAATGGGGTTACTTCTTATTTCTCAGCTCCGCAGCTCCCAAGTCCCGACTCCCTTTAGAAGGAAGTTGCATGTGGAACTTTTTTAGAAACCAGCTGTCACTTATTTTGGAAGCATAACGGCTTTGGAGAAAGAAAGGGGTGGGGGGGCAGACCTGCGGGAGAAGAGCGCCTGCGACAGGCTACCCAGACGTCCCCAGGTCCCTGGCGCCCTGGAGAGAGGTGTGGCCGCACGGCCCTGTGCCACCTGCGGCAAGAGCACCTGTGCCCTCGGGGCCTTGAGCAGGCCGGCCGGGCTCCGGGCGTCGCACGGCCCATGCCCTGGAAGCGGCCTTCTGCTGCAAGCAGCGACAGGGAGCGCTCAGGGGCTCCGCAGTAAGCAGTTTCACTGCCTCTGTTGAGAGGCAGCCCCAGGGCACGTGAGCAGCGCAGGGACAGCGGCAGGGAAGCTGGGTCCTCCCCCTCTCACCGCTGGCCGGTCCCATCAGCTGGGTCCTTGGGCCAGCTGCGCTCATCACTGCAACGTGTGTGCCAGTTTCTTGTACTTTTGACATTTTGGCCAAGTAATCCTTTGCCATGGGGCTGTTTGAGGCATTGGAAGATGTTTAGCAGCACCCCTGGCCTCTACCCACTGGAAGCCAATAGCAGGAGATAGCCAACGTACTCAAAACGGCCAGATCAATAAAGTTACTGGTGAAAATGAAAACCGTGTCTTTTATTTCATGGAAAACACGTACGGGCTTTCTGGCCTGCCCAGAGCTCACTGCCCTGAGGCGGGGGTGCTGTTGTGGGGCTCCTCATGGCTTCTTACCTTTTTAAATAAAGCGAACGCGGTGAATTTTGTCATGCACATTTTACCACAGTGAACACGCAGCACAAATGGAACACACAATTGTTCGCAAAGCGTCCTTCCCCATCTCGTTTGAGTGTCAGTGGTGGCCTCCGCTGGGGCTTCAGTGGGCTGCCCGCACGGCAGGCTGGCCGTTGTGCGGCGGGAGCAACACCGCTGCCCGGGCCCCGGGCCCACAGGTGCTGCGCTGCCCGAGGGGCCCGCGTGCCCTGTTGCCTTCCCAGCCACCCGGTGGCCGGTCTGAGCAGGAGAGGCACAGAAGGTAAACAATGGCCTACAGTTGCCGTGGGCCACAAGGGCCGCTGAGGCCGGTGTCGCGGGCTGTGTTCCGCCGACGGGTGTTACCGTCGCTCACCCTGTCCGTGCGGTCACGGCCTCCTTTGTCATCTCCTCACTGACATGTATCATCTTTAAGCATAAAAGTATAGGAGGTGCTTGACCTTAACTGCCTGTTTCCCTGACCTACGTTTCGTTTCTTCGGCTCTTTTGATCGTGCGGTGGTGGTTCTTTTTGTGCCAGAGCATCTCTGTTTGCAGTGGGTTTCCTTCAGGGAGGTTTCAGGGAAGGCCCCCTGGTTAGCACCGCCTGCGAGCCCCGTCCCGGGCCGCGGCGCCGAAGCGCAGCCCAGCGCCTTCTCAGGCCTTACTGCCGGGTGCCTCCAGTGGCCGTAGCGCACTCGTCCCCTGAAGCTGCTGACACCGCTCCCTTTTTTAGGAAGTGGAAACGATGAAAGCTGCGTATCGGAAAGAACTGGAAAAGAACAGAAGCCATGTGCTGCAGCAGAGTCAGAGGCTCGACACCTCCCAGAAACGGATTTTGGAACTGGAATCTCAGCTGGCCAGGAAGGACCACCTTCTTCTGGAGCAGAAGAAGTACTTGGAGGATGTCAAGCTGCAGGCCAGGTAGCCACCGTCGGAAGGGGCCCTGTGGCGTGGGGCGGGGCACAGCGGGGCTTCCCACTCCTGTGGTCTGTCTCTTCCAGGGGGCAGCTGCAGGCGGCAGAGAGCAGGTATGAGGCGCAGAAGAGGGTCACGCAGGTGTTTGAACTGAAGATCTTAGACTTATATGGCAGGCTGGAGAAAGACGGCCTCCTGAAGAAACTTGAAGATGAAAAAACAGAAGCAGCGGAAGCAGCAGAAGAAAGGTAGGAACAAAGAGCTGGCGTCAGGGGCCTAGTTACTGACGCCGCGGACTAGCGAGGACTGCGTGGCGAGGGTCAGAGCCATCACAGCCTGATCAGACACCGGCGGCCCGCGGCCCCGTCCCTCCCAGAGCCCCACCCGGTGTCCCATGACCTCCACGCTCCCTCTCCTGGCCCCGAGTCCCTCGACCCGGTCCCACGGGCATCCATATTTAAGGTTGCTGCTTGGGGCCCTAGGGTGTGACCCAGGAGTCTTCTGATGAGGTCTTGTGCCTGCGCCCTCTGTAGTCGCCAAGGGGCGGCTGGCAGCGGTCCGTGCCGGCGTGAGCAGCCGTGCGCCTCCCGCCGCAGCGCCGTGGTCACCGGCGCTTTTTTCCCCTTGGGTCTCTTACAGGCTCGACTGTTGTAATGACAGCTGCTCGGACTCTGTGACAGGGCACAGCGATGAGACACCTGGCCGCAACGGTGAGACCAAGCCCCCCAGGCCTGGCGGCGCCCGGGGCGCTGGGGCAGGCAGAGGAGGCGGGGGCGGCGGCGGCAGCAGCAGCAGCAGCCAGCTGTCCACGCCGGAGAAACCGCCGAACCCGAGGGCCGGCCCGTTCAGCAGCCGGTGGGAAAGCGCCGTGGGCGAGCCCTCTGCCGGCCTCCCCACGACTGTTGGCTCGCTTCCGAGTTCAAAAAGCTTCCTGGGCATGAAGGCTCGGGAGCTGTTTCGTAACAAGAGTGAGAGCCAGTGCGACGAGGACGGCATGGCCGTCGGCAGCCTCTCCGAGACCCTAAAGACAGAGCCGGGCAAAGACTTGGGCGTGGAAGCCAAGACCCCCCTGCACCCCGACAGCCCGCACCCGTGTCCCCCGAACCCAGACAGTGTTGGACAGCTTCGCATCATGGACTACAACGAGGCCCATCCTGAACACAGCTAAGGGTGGGCGGGCAGCGTCAGCCTGTGCGCGGGTACAGGCCGGGGCGGGCGCCGTCCCCGTGCTCCTGCTCGCGGGGCTTGTGCGGCGGCTCACGTGGCGGGAGAGGGACGCAGGGCCTTTTGACAGCTCACCCAATGCGGAACGGTTTCTGGGTCTGGCATTGAAATGCCTCCCCCCCCCCCCCCATTTACCTAGCAGCGTGTACTAACCCGAGGGCCAGTTTGCATTCCTCAGTAGCTTTATTTTCCTCCTTGCCCCCAGTGGTCGAGTCCTTTGAACCAGTGCAATATGAGGCCAAATGTCGAGTCCGACACCCCACTCTGTCCTCCCTGAAGCTCAGACAACCGGGCGGGCTCCCCGTTAGCCGGTGGCAGGTTGCACCGCAGGGGACATGCTGTCTGCCCTTCCTGGAGGAGGTGGTGTGCAGAGCTGACACCTTTACGTGAACACTTTTACAGGATACTCTTATGCTGCTTTTGGTTCTGAAGTTCAGCATCTAAAGCAGCAGGTTAGAAAAGCAATGGTTCAGTCACCCATATGTTCTTTTGGCGGTTAAGCTTCCTAGAAAGTTCTGTATGAACAGGCCTGGAGCTGGCACGGTGGAGACGACAGTCCGTTTGGGGAACAGCCTGTCCGCCTCCCCACTACCTCTTATTTATTCGGTGTTTGCTCGAAAACTGGTACTGTTCTGACCACAGACTGCGTGTGGGTGAGCCTGCTGTGTGCAGGACGGAAGGGCCGGGGCGCAAGCAGGCACCTGAGGGACGGTGGACGAGGAGCCGCCCTCTGGGCCGGGCCGACCCCGTCGGCTCCCGGAGATCCCCGTGCCGCTCTGGGCGCAGCTTCCCTGTGACCCTGCGGCAGCCAGGCTCCGAGGGCCGCAGGGTTTTCTCAGAGCTTCTGTGACTGTTGTTTCTCAGGTGGTCAGAGCTGCCTTGCTGAAGTAGGGTCTAGGCCACCGGAAGGGTAACAGCTTTTACCCCGATTCTGACTTAAGGGCGACTCTCCAGGCAGCGTGATGCCGCTGCCCTCGGACACGCCAGTGACGGCAGTGCCGTGTCCAGCGGAATCCTGCCGTGCGGACAGAGGCTGGCGGCCCGCACGCACTCTGGAGAGGTGACACCGGTCAGGACGTCGGCGGTGGCAGAGAACCCAGGCTCAGCAGACGCTCCCGGAGTAAATGCTAGAAGCCTAAGAATCCTCGCCTGGTGATCCAGCAGCGGTGAGGAGAGACTGGTGGGGAAGAGCCAGTGGGCTCGGTTTTGCTTCCTGTTCTCGGAGTTCAAGTGTAGGAGGGAGAAGACACACGTGACGGCAGGAAGTCTTGGCGCCCCCGGGAACTTCCAGTGAGGGAGGGCAAGTGCGGCAGCCAACAGCCTGGCCCCCCGCGCCAGACGGGGCGAGGGGAGGAGGTTCCACGTCACTGCGGCCGTGTGAGCAGACCTCCCTGCCCGGGACAGCGCGGGGCTGTGGCCGACCCGTGCCAGCCTGTGTGGGGCCGTCCCGGGCACAGCGCTGTCCTGTGGTGCGTGTCCCCCAGGGAGCGTCGCGCCACCCGTTCAGTTCACGTGTGTCCTAAGGAAAGCGTGAAGTCGAGGACGTGTGTTTGCCTCGTCCGGGTTCAGAGAGGGAGAACGCGCAGATGTGGAGAGGAAAGAGATACTGTGGAGAGTAAGTGCGGAAACCCTTCTAACCACCCGCCTGTCCCTAAGCCCAGGAGATGAGGCCCCAGCGCTTCATCAGAGCCTTGTCTCTCACTGACGTGCAGCGGCAGGGCGGCCCGCCTGAAGAGAGGAGGCTGTTTTCTCTTCGCGGGCCGATGGTGAGACGCGGGGAAGGAGACGCCACGGGGGGAAACGGGCTGAGGCTCCGCAGCGGCCTCTGCACCGGGGCCCGGGCGCGTGCCTCGGGCCTGGGCATCCGTCCGCCCTGTCTCGACATGGCCGAGCCAGAGGAGCTGTGCGGCCCCCTTCAGGCTCCGGGGGCTGTGGGTTTGGTTCAGCCAGGGCTGGAGACCGAGGCCTGGAGCCACATGGAAGTGGCCCTGCCCAGAAACGTAGGTTTTTATGTCGCGAAGGGCTCGGTAGTGAGGTTTTGCTTAGTTTTGGAATTGGTAAACCTGTCAGGAGTCAACAGGCATTTTTCAGGATGGAAAGGTGACTGTAGAGGAGGTCCTGCGAATCGGCGGGGACTGGCCAGGCAGAGGCGCGAGCGCGGAGCCTGGGCCGACGGCGCTCACAGGCACGGGCCGGATGGCCTCTGCCCGGGGCCAAGCAGGCCCCCTGGCCGGCAGTGTTTGGCCAGCGTCCCAGTCCCACCTGACACTAACCAGGGTCGGCAGGGGCCCGGAGAAGGTGGCAGGCTGACTCCTGGGCGGCGTGAGGTTCCTAATAGGATCACTACAGCCTCCTCTGGGCGGGGGGCGGGGGGAGAGCAGCGTGGTCTCCAGAGAGGGCGCGCCCCCAGTCTGCTGCAGGTCGGTCAGTGTGGGTCTGCGTCCGATGGGAACCAATGACTTAAAACGAGCTTTGGCCGGGTCCTGCTGTGACGTGAAAATCTTTACTGTGTGATGGGAGGGCATGCTGGTCGCGAATCAGGACACCGGCTGGGGTCCAAGGGCCGGGGAGAGAGGCCGCTGCTTGGGCGGCGAGGGGCGGAGGGCCCCCTTGGAGAGGAGGCGGCCGGCCTGCTGAGGCGGGTGAGAAGACGGGCCCCCCTCTGGGCTTGTCAGGTTTCCAGGAGAGAGAGCTGCCAAGCCTCCGGGAATAAGTAGCTGACGGTGCTCACTGGGCTCTGTGAGCAGAGAGAGAAGTGGTAGGTGAGCTGCTTTGTGAGCGGAGCGTGCGTGCCGTCCCGCGGGGAGGGAGCCCCGGCTCCTCTCCACTGGTGAACTGTTCGGGCCCCGGTCGGGACCCAAAGCCACTGACCGTGGGAAAGCCAGCCCATGCACCAGCACAGCCGCCGTGGGCAGCAGCACGTGAAGCTTCTGGTGTTCTTGTCGAGGAGGATAGGACAGGCTGGTGTGCGGGGGCGGGAGGATCTGGCAGCCAGGCTGCAGCTGTGGGTTTCTGTGTAGAGCGCCTGACAACCGTGCCCCCGCTGGCCTGTGGAGGTCCCCTGCATCCCAGGACAGGCCACTTGAAGCTGGAAGGGAACAGGGGAAAGTGAGGGAAAGGAAGTGCTATGCAGGCAGGTGGTCTGCCTGGGCAAAGCCCTGGCAGCGGTGGGGAGCGTGGACCAGTGGCGAGGGGAGGGCTCGGGCAGAGGGCAGGCTCCGCCCGAACCGCGGCGGAGGCGGAGGCGGCGTGCCCCCGCCTTGTGCAGAGACAGGGGCCAGCCCTCTCTTCAGGGCAGTCCCAGAGCGGCCCGGCCCCACCCAGGAGCGTGTCTCCCTTTGGGCGAGAGCTGTCCTGTCGCGTGACCCAGGTTAGCGTGTCATACTCTGCTGCGTTTTCGCTGTTTGAGGTACAGGCTTTAAAACTGACCAGCAGTGAGTATTAGGAGCCATACCTGGTCTAAGATGCTGTGTGTTTGTTTACATCCAGAGTTCTCTGACACCCCCTCCCCCACACACACTGCTGCAGAGGAATTGATTGCACTCAAGGAGGCTTGTCCCTAGCGGGGGCAGAACCAGCTGAGGTTGGGGCCTGGCCCCTAGGTTGCTGCTGTGACCCTTGTCCCCAGGTGTCTCGTGTCCCCTGCCGTGACTCTGGCATGCCCAGGGCAAGCAGTGTTCCCGGCTTTTCACGCCATCTTGCCGTCTCTGTGTGCTCACCTGAGAGAGGAGCGGCTACCGCTGCGCGGGATGCCTGCCTGGGCCGGCCGAGCCCCTGCCCCCCGCTACCGCTGGCCCTGACTCGTGCTGAGGCGGCACGGGGGCTTCCCTCCCCATCCCGCTCCCAGTGCCACAAAGCCACCTGTCCCCGGGCCCATTGGAGGCGGTCGGTAGAGGCCCCAGACCGCCTCTTCCTCCCCCGCCTCCACGCAGCGCTCGGACGGGAGGGTACGTGCTGCCCTGCGCAGCCGACGCTCTGGCTCCTCCGAGAGGCAGCCGGGCGCTTTGCACTAGGAAGAATCATTGGTCACTTTGCAGGAGACCTCTGTGGGCCACAGCTGTGTCACGGAGGAACAGGTTGCGCTGTCATAACCTAGTTTTCTGAGTCAATCATGAAGCCGGTGTGTGTCTGGCTTGCAGTGAAGGGTCCCATCATTGAGAAACTGATTTTTTTTTTTAACTGACTGCTTTTAGTTAAATTTTAAAAAGTCATCTCTTGTCAAAGGTTTCAACCTTCCAGCCTCGATCTTAAAAGCATGTCAAACAATCCACATCCAATGCCATAAACATGAACTGCAAGAGAACATGGTACAATCTTAGTGAGTGGGGACTGGAATCGAAAGGGTTTGCTGTCCTTCTTAGAATGTTCTAAAATGTCAAGGCAGTTGCTTGTGTTTAACTGTGAACAAATAAAATTTATTGTTTTGCACTACTCTGCTGTGTTGCTATGAGGTGGCCAGTGTGGGCCCCGGAGGGACGCATCCAGAGACGCGAAAGCCTCAGGGCGCAGGCGGCCGGTTACCACCAGTGTGGGGAGGAGGTGCTGACGGGGTTCAGAACCCGGCCTGTGTCGCTCTAAGAGGGGACTAAGGTCCCCTCTGCTCTGGCGGACAGTCACCGATCCTCAGAATTGCCTGCCCCGTTGAGCGTGGCCTGCTGGGGTGTGTGCGGTGTGACCTGAACCATCGCTCCCAGGAGACGCAGAGGCAGGGACCTCCTGGGTGTGCGCGTGTGCGGCCGGGTGCGCGCTGGCCTTCCTACATGCTGGCGGCACGGAAGGTTTCGGGCAGCCCTGGGTGGGGCCCTGTGCACTGCGCTTGTCGAGCTCTGACTGACCCTGAGCCTTGTCCGCTGTGTTTGCGTGTCAAGGAAAAGGTGGAGCTGGTGTCCAGCACCTTCCCTCCGCCCGGGGCATGTGGGAGAAGGCGGAAGCTGCCCTCAGCGACAGTGAGGTCGGCCCTGGCCTTACCGTCTCTTGCCTGGGATGCACTGGGACAGGACTGGGGGCAAAGAGCTCCGTGCCTCCGCCCGCCGCCCCTGGAAAGGGGCGTGCTCTGCCCTGATTGAGGGTGGAAGCAGCTCTTTCGAGAAAGACTCAGAGGCGGCAGCTATTGATTTTGTCTGGAAAATTGAGGCGATCTTGTCTGGGTAGGTCTCTAAGCCGTGAGAGGCGTCGGCCGGCTTCCTGCGCATCTGGCAGCGCTTCGGGGAAGTGGCCTTTCGGGAACGGAGTGCGCACCCGTCTACCGTGGTGTCGCCGGGGGGCTGCTGCCCTGCGCCCTCTGAGCTCAGGAGCAGCGTGGTTTTCTCTAAGGGACAGGTTCCAGGAAAGCAAGCCAGGCAGGCAGGTGGTAGGACACTTTTATTCTTGGCAGTAGCCCCCGAGGAAGCAAGAATACAGAAGCTAAGTCGCCCCCTGTGAAGGGAAAAACCAGCAGTCAGACAGCACTTCTGGCAAACTCGGAAGCCAGCAACGCGTTGCATGGTGTCTGGGCCTCACTTATGTGGTGGAGACCCAGGAATTGTCTTGCCGGGAGCCACGAGATCGGGGTTCTTCCGGTTTCTCTCAGCCTCTGTCTCCCAAGTGAAGGAGAGGAGAGGCGGGCTCGTTCCCTTCGGGCTTTGGTCCTGAGACCCAGTCACACTGGGGACGCTCAGCGTGCTGACCCATGGCCGCCTGGGAGGTGGGAGCTACCCCGTCTCGCCAGAGCTGCGCGGTCTCCTGGCTCCGCGGCTCAGCCTGCAAAGCTGGACCTGCAGCCGGGGCAGCCTGGCCAAGGGGGTGAGGGGCGGGAGCTTGCAGAGGACCTGGGCTGGCACGCACAGCCCTAGTTCTTCCCCAGCCTCCCCGGGACACCCCCTGCCTGGCACTCCTAAAGTGGGGCTCCTCTTCGTGGGCACAGAGCCAGGCCGCTGAGGGGAGGAAAACCTAGAAGCTACAGCAGGTGTGAGGTTCTCGACAATATATCAGGGGTCCCCTTTGGGGTTCATGTGTGGCAGGGGCTGGGGGTGCCAGTGGAAACAGATCAGCCAGCGGGAACCAAGTTTGATGACTGCGCCCCACAGGTCGGGCCTGGGGCGGGGAACCGGCGCCAGCTGGGAGTTACAGCTTCCCACCGGGCGGTCTCCAGGGAGGCTTCGAACCGTGGCCTTTCCCCCAGGCCTGAGGCTCTTTTGTAAGTTGCCTCCACTGGTGGTTTCTTGACTGAGGCCCGGCGCCTCTGGTCTGGGAAGGCCAGGCGGCGGCCGCGGTGACCTCCTGGCGTTTCTGGGGCGCACTCACGTGCTGCTGCACTTTGCGGGGCAGCTTCTCCGAGTGGGCGATCCATTCTTTCATCAAGTCCAGGATGAGGGGGATGAGGCTGACCACGCCCCCGTAATGGTTCCGGGCCTCGTCACAGCTCAGGTGGTTCACCACGTCGTGAGGGTACCTGCAGGGCGGCGGGGGCCACTGAGCCCTGAGCACAGGGGAGCCCAGCAGGGCGTTTCGATCCTGAGCTCCCGTCAGGCCCCCGGGCAAGTTTCCGTGCTGTGCACGCGCCGGGCCGGGCTCCCCGCTGCAGACGCTGTGGGCTGGCAGGTGTTGGGGGCCGGGAGCCCCAGGCACAAACCTGCTCGGACAGCTCCACAGGGCACTGCCTGTGCCCTGGACCCTCCCTGCCCTGTCTCAGCAGCTTCCCTGAGGCTCTGGGACTTTATGCAGTGGACCCCCAGGGGTCAGGATTAGGGAACCCCCTGCTGGTGCCCATGCCCGCTGCTTTGTGGGCTCCTGGGGACAGTGCTCCGTGACCGTGCCCTGCGCCCGGGGCTGGCTCTCGTGAGAGGCGCCTGTCCCGCTGGCTTCCTCGGTTCAGGCTCATCTGCCCTCTTAACAGGGGCCCCTCCCGTCCCCCTCCCGTCCCAGCCCCCTCCACATGCCCAGCCTCAAGGACAGGACCCGAGGGACGTACTTTGCTCTCAGGCTGCTCAGGTCGTTGCTTTGGCTCACGAGGGCTTTGCACTTGTCGAGGAGGCTGTTGGTGACCGGCGTGCCCGGGTGCAGGGTCTCGCAGCGCTGGCAGAGCCTGCTCAGCTCTGCACACAGGTCTAGGAACAGGTGCAGGATGCGGTGGTCCGTGGCGTTGCTGCAGTGGTGCTCCATGTAGGTCTGCACCTGCGGGCCAGCCACGCCGTGAGCGGGCTGTGGGGCGGCTGCCCGCCGGCCACTGGGGGGCGCCCCCTCCCCCCCAGGGCCCCGTGCAAGGCGCCAGCAGCAGCGCTGGAGCAGCAGGACGGACAGTGTGCACGAGAGCTACCGCCCTTCAGTGTCCTGGGCGACGGGCAGCGTGTTCGCGGGCCCAGCCTCCCCTCTCCCTCCCCTAGACCCTCCCCCCAGGCGGCTTCGAAGTCCTCATTTTACAGGTGAGCAAAGGCTCTCGGCCATGCCCTCGCCAGCCCCGCCTCAAGGACCACGGGTGGGGCCCCCAGACTGAGGTCATTGGCAGTCATGTTGTCCGTGTGCCCGAGGCGTGGAAAGGGGGCGGCCGGGCTGTGGAAGGGGGGAAACAGCTGCACTTGTGAGGAAACCAGTGCCCCTGCCTCGCACCATAGACGGGGCAGCTCCAGCCGGGATGCACTGACCCCACAGCCACAGAGCTCCCCAAGGAGCGGGCCGCAGAGCAGGAGCTGGGGTGCTGCCCGGATACGCCCGGAAGGTGCTCAGAGTGGGGACACAGCGGACCGCCTTTCGGCTCCTTTCGGGGCTGGGGTCTCCCCCTGGGTGGGGCACCTGCCGTTTCGGAGGGACCTGGGCCTGCCAGGGACTCTGGGCCTGAGGTCAGGCAAGCGCGGGAGGCCTGATCTTGTGCTCGGAGGAACTGGCTCCATTGGGCGGGGTCCCCCACTCTCCATGACCCGGTGGCAGGGGCGCCCGCTGCCCCCAGCACCCACCGAGTTCTCAGTCTAAGCCCAGGTGCCTGCTGTCACTAGGTGCCGTCTGCTGCGAGTGTCTGGCGTCCCAGCCACCTGAAGGGTGCCTTCCCGAGTGCAGTAGCTTTGCAAGGGGGAGAGGCTTTGACACCCCCACGCACGTGTGCACACCCGCCTGAAGAGCAGTGGGCGCAGAGGAGCCTGGGCTGTAACCACAACAGAGCCGTGTGGCTGGGCCACTGGCTCTGGGTGTGCCCTTTGGACACGTCTGGTTGTCTGGCTGCGGAGGGCAGGGTGAGGGCCGGAGTCAACACTGGAGATGCAGAGTCAGCTCACCGGGCCACTGTTTGCCCGAAGCTGCCTCCGCTGGGCCTCAGGCGAGCAGGCCGCGCCTCGTGCGCAGGAGGGGCAGGGCCTCTGGCCCTGGCAAGCTTTGGGAGAGGTAGCAGCCCTCAGTGCCCCTCCCTCACCCTGAAAACCAGTCCACTGCCCTTGGACGACTGAGCCTTTGGCGAAGGGCTGAAAAGGACGCAGCTAACCTGCTTCCAGATAGTTCTGGGGATGGTGTGTATCGGGCGAGAGCATGCAACCTGGCTAAATGTTACAGACTGGCGCATGTAGGGGAAGGTTATACGGGCCCTCGTTTTCCATAGGACTTAATTTTTTCAAGTTAAAGAGCTGGGAGAAATATTTACAAAAATTAGCAGAATTTTAAAAGGTGTGCTGCTGGCAGGGGTTGCTGTTCTCTGTGAAGGGGTTTGGGGGGGGCTGGGTGTGAGGCTCAAAACTCATCTCAAGTGCTCACTCTGCACCCTCACCCCGCCCTCAAGGGCCACACACACAGCAGGTGGCCCAGCGACGCAGCTCTGTTGTGGTTACGGCCCAGGCTCCTTCGCGCCCACTGCTTTCCAGGCGGGTGTGCGCACGTGCGTGGGGGTGTCAAAGCCTCTCCCCCTTGCAAAGCTACTGCACTCGGGAAGGCACCCTTCAGGTGGCTGGGACGACAGACACTCGCAGCAGACGGCACCCAGTGACAGTAGGCACCCTGGTCAATCCCGTGACTCCCAGGGAGCTCGGTGGGTGCTGAGGCCTCGGGGTCCTGAGCAGCACATTTAGAACACAGCAGCTGGCCCACGAGGGCACACAGGGACATGCAGACGTCAGGGTGCCTGGGTGCCCAGCGGGATCCGACAGCCGAGACCCCACATGTCTGTTCCTCCATGCACCCCCCGCACCCAGCCCAGGGACTGACCAAGTGTGTTGCGAGGACCCTCCCATGACACCTGTGGATCAGCCCTGGGAGGTGTGTGCTGCTCTTCTCACTTTACAGATGAGGAAACAGGCACAGAGAGGCGAGTCAGTGGGCTGAGGTCACAGAGGTGGCCTGGGGCAGAGCGGGACTTAAGCCCTGGCCGGTTGAGTCTCAAGCCCACAGGCTTCACCACGTTGTGGCCCTGCTCCCACTCGCGGCAAGGGGGGGAGAGGATGGCCCATCCCATCGGTGAGGACCGGAGCCCTGATTCTGGCATGAACGTGCTTCCCTCTCTTGGCCTCCGTTTTCCCGCCATTGGAGCGAGGCCAGGGCCGGGGGTCCGGCCCAGCCCACCTGCCCGCCCAGGCCAGCACCTGCTCGATGCTGGAGATGGGCCGGATCTTGTCGTGGGCGTTCTCCCGGCAGCGCTCCAGTGCCGCGACAAAGGTGAACTGCTGCTGCTGGAACAGCTTGTACTTCTGCTCGATGCTTCGGAGGGACCCCTTCACCTCGTTCATGGTCCCCGCAGCGCTCGCTCCCAGGGGAACAGGCGTCTGTGGGTGGCAGATGGGGCGCTGAGGTCCCAGGGGCTCCATGGGTGCAGGCTGTGCGCAGCCCCTCCTGAGGGGTGCTGCACGGCGCGGCCCCGCTCCCCGGGGGGAGGGGCTGCTGTTGCCCCCAGCTTGCCGAGAAGGGGATGAGCCCTTCCCGTGCAAGACACTTGCCCAAGACCTCCCGGGCGATCCCCGAGTGAGCTGAGCCTGACCCCAGGCCATTTGCCCTGCAAGGGCACATTCTCGGAAGTCGTAAAACACGACTTCCTCCACCGTGGACAAGAATTCTCCGGTCCTTGGCCTCCGGACTGTGGATCTCTCTCTCTCTCTCTCTCTCTCTCTCTCTCTCTCTCTCTCATACACACGCACGCGCACAGCCTCCAGTGCCTCCCTGTGGTGTCAGCGAAACCTGGGTTCCAGGACTGTGCCACAGCATCGTAAGTCTGACTTTATCAGCTCGAACGAAATGGTTTGAAAACACCTGCCACCGCGGCCGGTGGGGCTCCTTCCAGCGGGCCCAGCAGGTGAAGGGGCAGCCCTGGCCTGGGGTTTCCGGGCTCCGGGCAGGGGCCCTGTGCTGAGGTTTGCCCGCTTGGGAACACGAGTGCCTCCTGGTCCCCAGGGGCCCAGGTGGCCCACGGGTCCTCTCTGGGCTCCGCCCTCCAAGACACTGATTTTGCTGAGCACATGCAAAGCACTCCAGGCCACGGACTTGTGTTGGGAACGTTAGTGCTAGGACCTCCACAGATCGACCCGCCCCCTTTATTTTCCGGGGAAACTGACACCCAGACCCCCCGACCGCTCCCGGGCCCCAGGCTTCCTGCCCGCTAACCAGCATCCTCCACGCTGCCACAGTGGCTGTCCCTGCACTTCAAGGCACCAGCACAGCTGGAGCCCAGGGCTGGACACGCCCCCTCCCTGTTGGGTGGGGAGGCTGCGCTGAGGGAGGGAGGGCAGACTGAGATGCCACCAGGGGAGGAGGGGACACACCCAGGCTTCCTGGCAGGTCCCACCTGGGTGGAGAGAGAGCGGTGGCACTGGGAGGGGGCATTTCACCTGCTGTGTCCCCTCAGCGCCCGGAGCCCAGAGCAGGCCTGGGGCCAGGGAGGGCGTCTCGGTGGCAAGAGGCGGTGGCATCAGGGTCAAAACGTAACCTAGAACAGACCAGAAGATGGCTGGCCTCCGGGACTTGATGGGCGTGGTTAGTCAGAGAGCCTGGGGACCACGGAGACGTGGCCCCCGTCCTGCGCAGGGGGCTGAGGGCAGCCCGGTTGTCGCAAAGGCGCCGGGCCAGCAGGGACCCTGACAACTGTGTCTGGTCACTGCGGTGGGTCCACTGTACGTGTAATGGGCGCCACTTCAGCGGCAGCGTCCCAAGGCCACCCTTGGGCGCCACAGTGCCTGTGTTAGCCAACAGAGCTGTGCAGCACCACCGGGGCCCGGCTGGTCTTGGAGCTCAGCCTCCTCCCCACCCCGCACCTACCCCCATCGTAGGTGGGCAGCGGGAGGGGAGCGGGGTGGTGGGGATGCAGTGGGGCCCGCCGCTTGTTGAACACCTGCTGTACCCAGTATCCAACTTAGGTGCCTCTGTCCACGCCCCCGCCCGCCCCACCTGGAGGCAGAGTCAGCTTTCTGTTGTGCCTCCCCGGCCTCAGGCCTGGCCCCCGGCGTCAGACCCCTCCCCCCGCGTCAGGACCTCGGAGCCTGAACAAGAGTGAGGCAAGAGAGGTGCTCAGCGCTGTGAAAATTCAAGGGGGCGCCAGGCAACTCACTAGGTGATCAAGATGGGTAAAAAGAATGCACTGTTGTAAAAAAAAGTTAACCCCGGAAATTCCACAAAGAACCCGATGTCAGAGTTTTAAATACAGCCAGGCTGGGGCCCGGTGCCGGGCCTTGCTGCGGTGGAGCCTGAGACACGGGGGCAACGCAGTCATCCTGATCCTGTACACAACGTGCGATATTTTATCCTCCGTGAATTTCTGCCTTGATTTTGATTTTTTTAAATATTGCATGAAAACACTATTTTCTTGAGTACTGAGGTGTGGGGCACCCCCTTCAGTGCCCTGCAGCGGCGAACTGCCCCACTGGCCTTGCCTCGTTGGGCCCAGCGTTCACACGACTCCGAAGGGCAGGCCCGGGCAAGTCCGCGCGCAGCACACAGCGGGCTCAGGGAGGGGCCGGCCCGGCCTCCAGGGTTAGGCTCCGTGGGCGAGGGCCCGCGCTCCGGAGTCGCACCATCCTGGGCTCAAGTCCCAGCCCCACCCCCACTTCTCGTGGCCTTGGGCCAGTTGCTCCCCGAGGCCCGGTGTCCTGCCGGCTCTGGAACCCTGGCCGTGCCCTACGTCGAGTCCTCGCCACGGCCCTCGAACAGGGCGCCACCGTTACCCACTCTTGACAGATGATGAAGCTGAGATCATGCAGCTGGGCAGAGAGCAAGCCAGGGTTTCCCGCTGACCTTTGCCTAACTTAGCAAAGTCTGGGCTCTTCACTGGAGTATCTCCCTCCTTCCCTCTGTGATGACCCGTAGAGAAAAACATGCCAGACACCAGACTGGCTGTGGCCTGGGGTCGGGGGGGCCTGAGATGCTGCTGAGCCTCCTAGGGGCCACGCACTAGCCGGACCCCCAGGCCTTGCTCCCACTGCCGTGAGACTGTTCCCTGTTCCCCATCCCAAAGCGATGAGGACCAGCCTTCGGGGGCTGCCCTGTGTACCTGGCCCCGCCACTCTCCTGGGGCTTCCTGGGGCTGCCAAGTCCTCCAGGAATACAGCACCACCTCACCTGGTGGCACCAAGAGCCCCTCAGAGAAAAACTGACTTGGTCCTTGATCCTAGTGACTTGTGACATGCATGTCAGGGATGTCGTGAGAGCAGCTGTAATAAGCTATCCAAAGTGATCGTCCCTCAAACGAGACTTACTGCAGCCAAATTAGTCGGGATGAAAGGCACGGGATGCAGGCACTTCTCGATCTGGGGGAGGAGGAAGGGAAAAATGATTACCCAATAGGTTTTTGGCTTTAATTGATTTGTATTTTTCCAGGCTGCTAAAGATGATTAAATCATGGTATGAAAAGTGCCTAGGGCTTAAAATAAATGAGGAGAAAGGCAAGTCATTTCAGAAATGTCCACGCTGAGCCTCTCCAGCGCCAACTGCAGGCTTGGTTGTTGCGCTCTTTGTTCCGGGGGAGGCGGCGGCCTTTCTTCCCCAGCCTCTCTGCAGCTGGGCCTGACAAGCCTCCTAGGGTCGGCAGGCTTTGAGGAGCCGTTGGGAGTGGGAAGCAGAACTCTGCCGACTTTCCCCCGCTGGAGGGCGTGTCTCTGGGCTGGGGACGGGTGGAAAGGCTTGGGCTGGGCGTCAGGACACCTTGTTCCTGCCCTGGCTCTGCCTTTCACACGGGACCCTGGCCGGCAATTTCCCCCTGTCCGGGCCTCTGTTTACCCATCTATAAAATGAGTTTGGATTAGCGGCTTTTCAAGGGGCTTCTGGATTGTAATGCTCTGTGATCACAACGGATAAGGAGCGAGGCTCAGACAGGGCAAACGACTTGCCCCACATCACTTGGCCAACAATTTTTCACCATTCTGATCCTCCAAATTCTCCTGTGTAAAATGCACGTGAAGGTACCCCCTTCTCTGGGGCGGTGCGAGATTAAATGAGATAATACTGACAGCGGCCCCACGCAGTGTGCCCTAACTCGGTGCCAGTTACTGTCCAACGCTGCAGATATAGTAGCTCCTGGGATCCTCCCATAACCCCCACCTCGTGGGGGAGGAAGAGAGGCACAGGGCAGGCTCACACAGCTAGTGGCGGTGCAGCTAGGGTTGGAATTCTGGGCAATTTGTATTGGCCACGTCAAACATGTACCCTCTCCAAAATGTGCACAGGACTCCACGGACGAGCGCACGGAGAGCTCAGACGGCACCTCCCACTAAGAATGGCAACGAGAGCGACAGCTCCCAAGTCAGTGCTGCGGCGGACACCTGCACGGCCCCGTCCCACTGGAGACTCTCGCGGCCTCCACCGCGTCGCACCCCCTCCCCCTCCCGGGGGCGGCGGCGGCGGCGATCCACGGCACTCTCCGCTCCCCACTATTCCTCCACCCAGTTTCCAAACCCGGGATTCACCTCGCTTGTTCTACAGCCGCCTTCACTCATAGAGCGCCCTGAAGCTGGAGAGCCTCCGTGGGTGTCTGGGCCCGTGAGGAGCGGGGAGGCCCTTCCCAGGGTTTGGGAGCCGGGGTGGGGTGTAGGGTGCTGAGGTCGCGGTGAGAAGAGGCGGGGCCACGGGCCCGATTGTTACCGCGGGTGCCATAGCAATTGGGTCACGTGGCAGCCCCGCCCTGCTCCGAGAGCGGCCGGCGGGGCCTCCTGGCACTCAGAAGATATGAGTTGGATGGAGGGTCTCCAGCGGGACCCTCGGCTCTTCGGCCGGTCCCTTAGACTCCTCTTCCAATATCCTCCCCTACCTCTAGTCTTCATTTTAAAGATGGGGACACAAGCCGGAGAGCCTAACGCCCGCGTCAGGGCGCACAGGCAGAACCCGAAGCAGAATCCGCCTCCCGCCCCCGCTGGAGGGCCGACGTGCCCTCAGGGTGTGGGCAGGTGTCTCAGCACAGGGGGCCCCTACAGGGGCGCATCTCTGCTCCTCGAAGGCCATAGCTGGAAGCGACCTGAGCTGCTCCGGTCAGACGCGCCGAAGGGAGCGCAGCCGGGCAGGGAAAGCACTTGTCCAGGGCCGCGGAGCGCCGGGACCGAGGAGCACGAGCCAGGCCTCGCGGCGCGCTCAAATGACGTCAGGGAGCAGCGCCCCTAGCGACGGTGGTCACTAGGGAGGGGCGCACTCTGATGACGTCTTAGAAGCGCCCTTAGCGACGGCGGTCACTAGGAAGCGGCCGCGCTGCCCTGAAGCATGGATGCGACCTCGGCGCCGCACCGCATCCCCCCGGAAATGCCCCTGTACGGGGAGACGAACAACGTCTTCGAGATTATGCAGGTGACCCGGTCAGCCCCACCGTGTTGCGACACTGGGCGGAGGCCAGGGAACCCTCGTCGCGGTGCCAGGGTGCGCGCTGGCGACCCGGCAGCAGGGGGCCCACATTTGTTACCCACAAGATTGCCTAACTTAGGGTGTCCGACTCTTGTACCGCCGTGACCCCGAGGGATCCCTCGATCTGAAGACACCCTCGGCCCTGTCCCGCGGACCCAGGGTAAAAAGGGGCAAACCGTCCAGGCCAGGATGTGGCCCTGGCTCTGTGCCAGCCGGCTGGAGGGCCGGGAACAAGTCCATTCCTCTTTTCAGTCCCCGCGTCTGTGAAATGTCGGGCTGCGAGAGGTGGTCTCCGAAGGGCTGCCCCGGCTCTGACAATTCCGTCCTCCTGCAGAGTTGGCTTCTGGGCTGGGCAGTGCCCGAGTTCAAGGGGGCAGGCCTGTCGCCTGAGAGCGCCCCTCCTGGGACAGCATCCCTGTGGTTTGGCGCGCAGCATTTCCCGCTTGGCTCTTCCTCCTCAGGGCCAGGATTGCGGGCAGCTCCCAAGCTCCCCTCCTGGTTCCTGTCCTCACTAGGCCCCCACTCCCTGTGTGGCCTCAGGCAGAGCCCTGCCCTAGAGTGTGTGGTCCGTGTCCCTTCTGCACCTCCTGGAGAGAAAGGCTTTCGGGAGCTGCCCAGCCGCTCAGATACCGAGGGCCAAAAGGAAGCTGGAGCCCGGCTTCCAGAGCATTTGTCGGCTGCCCCGGGTCCGCCTCGGGTCCGCCCGCCTATAGTCATTTGAAACTGACCTGCACGAGTGAGAGCAGAGCTCAGAGTAAAGAACCCCAGTCTCTCCAGCAAGCGTGTGCTTCCTTTGGAGGATGGAGAGAGAGCGAGTGAAAGTTGAGTGACGAGTCTAAGTAAAGAAAATGGCTCGATGATGACTCCGTGTAAGCCATCAGGCGGCGGGCAGGACGCAGGCGCGCGGCGAGCACAGTGGCCTGCCCTGGAGGGACCAGGACAGCCCCCTCGTGGCCGCTGGAAGGCGCAGCCCCAGAAAGCTCTCAGTCCCGCATTTCCAGTCCTTAGTCATTTGTGTGTGCCCACCACGGTTCTTACCGTTTCCACTTTCTGTTTTAAAATAATTTTAGACCCACAGGAAGTTACAAAAAATAAAGTTCTGGTGCACCCTTCCCCCCGTGTCCCCCAGGAATAGCATGTAATGACCACTGTGCATTGTGAAAACCAGGACGCAGAGGTCGGCGCGAGACTGCCAGCCGGACTGCGCTGGATTCCGTCCTTTTCTGTCCGCACTCATGTTGGCGTATGTCCCAGTCTATGAAATTGTATCACCTGTATCGATTCATGTAACTACCAGCACGTTTCCATGTAACTCAGCCATTTCTTTAAGTCAACCCACTTTCAAAAAAATGAAGTAACGCGTTCTTTCTCGCCCTAAACAATATCCTTGCAATCATAGGTCTGATGTAATTTTCTAATACACGTTGGATGTGCAACTGTTTAAAAGTGACATAAAGCCTGTTCATCTGTGAACCGTCTAGCATCACCTCACCAGTGATTAGGACTAGGGGGGCATGTGGCCCTGCCATTTGCTGGCGGGGAGCGTGGGGTCGCAGGAAGCTGAGGCGCAGGGACGACTTGCCGGTGAGATTCGGGGTGGGGCGAGGACATCGCACAGCTCAGTGCTCCTTGCGCTGCCCCGCACCCCTCCGCCCCAGAGCGCTGGAGCCCTCTGCTTGTCCCCAGGGCTGAAGGGAGCGCCTAGTGCCCCAGCCCAGCGCCCCGCGGCTGGCGGCTGGCGGCTGGCGGGCCCACCTCTGTGCCTGTTGTTCTGGAACCATGGGAGCTCTTTCCCTTGGGATTCAAGGGCCAAGCTCTCCCAGGGCTATTTAGGTGTCTGGCAGGGAAATACTCCGCCGCACTCCAGAGGCACTTTGGTAGTGACGTCCATGTCCCCGGTAGACTTCTGCATTGGCACTTCCTGTGATTGTCCCAGGCACAGGGACAGGGTGAGGCCATGGTGGGACACACGGGGGCTGCAGGAGCGTGTGGCGGGATCTACCCAGTGACTGGTCAGGAAGAAGGTACGCTTGTGTCGACACCTGGGGACAGAGGGAAGGCGTCCCAAGCTGGGGGAGCAGCCTGTGCTCAGGCTCGGGGGTGCGTGAGGAGAACCGAGAGAAGGCTGGTCTGCGCGGCACAGAGTGGCCGGGGAGAGGGCCCTGGGGCTGCCTGAGGCTGAGTGCTGCGCGGCCGCTCCATCGTGCCTCCGCTTACGTGGACCCATGCCGCTGCCACCGGGGGCAGGAGCTGTGTGTCGAGGCCAGGCGTACTGGTGGGGTGCCGTGGAGGGACCAGGCCTCCTCGCCATTATCCTCAGGGACAGGTTGCGAGGCCGCCGGAGCCGGGGGCCGTGGGTGCCCGTGCCGACGTTAACCATCTGGGTGTCTGCCCTGCACCCACAGAACCTGCTGGAGCAACTCCTGATCCACCAGCCCAAGGACCCCATCCCGTTCATGATCGACCACCTGCAGCAAGACAATGACAACGGTGAGCACTGTTGGGGGAGGCCCCTCCCCGGCCCCCCCGCCCCGTGGGAATGGCTGTGAAAGACGCCATCCCTGCCACGAGTGAGACCAGCACAGGGAGGGGAGGGGTTTTGACAATTTGGGCTGGCGGTTAATTGAAAAATGCTTTAATTTCTTTGGGAACACAACTAATAAAAATTCTCTCGCCAAGTTATCGAAAGAAAAACCTTGAGTGGCCCACGGAATCCATTATTAACACTCCCGCGTGCCCCAGCGGAGGGCGCCTGTCGGGTTTAAGCTCTGTGATCGCGTGTCAGGTGTAAATTTGGTTTCCGTCTGCCTAGACAGGCAGCACTTGGGTTTCCCTCCGGTCTCACTACCGGCGCCCATTAATGGGTTCCGGAGCTGCCGTGCCTTGGCCCGCGTGCAACCAGGCTGGACCCCAGGCCAGCGCTGGGCACTGGGGAGCGGGACAGGGGGCCCTGGTCCCCCTCGGTCAATGTGCCGGGTGAGGAGGATCATCCCTCTGTGTGCACTGCCGGCAGAGCCAGGCTCCTGGAGCTTTGATGTGTCTTTCATTGGAGCAGCAGGAGCTTTGAAGGAGCCACTTGCACACCCACGAAGCCGGCTCCTGGGGCAGCCGGGGCGGCCATAGGCCTGAGGTGCCCCGTGGTGGGGTTCATAGGCCTAAGATGAGAAAGAATGCTGAGTAGCTTGAGAAAGAGAAAGGGAGAGAGAAGAGACTCCAAACCCGCAGGTGAGCAGGGTGGCCTGGCCTTGCCAGACCGGGCCGCCTGCAGGTCTCCTGGCACCGGCCTTGCCTGCGGAGCGCCAGCGGGAGGGGCCGGCGCATGGAGCCCAGCACGGTGGTTCCAAGAACCCCGCAGTGCCCTTTCCTGAGTCTCCAGTTGGGCAGACTTGAGCACTGGCATTGCCCGTGAGCCTGAATGCCTGAGGGGGACCCACAGCTGTGACCTTGGGGGCCGGGAGGGCCGTCTTCTCCAGCCGTCCTTGCTGAGCTCCCAGCAGAGCTCTCGGCAGGACTTTGGTCTTGGTGCCTGCGGGTGGGAGGCTCCTCAAGCCGCCTTCCTGCCTGGGGGGCTGCTGCAGGCCCCGGCTGTGTCCTCGGGGCTGCCGGGAGCCCTGCTGCGTTGCTGCTCTGCCCGACAGGGCAGCGCCACTAGCAAGGCCAAGCAACCGTGAAAGGGAACTAGAAGGAACATCAGGACCAAGCAAAGTGACTGCGCAGCTCAGACAGCGCAGTGACGCCGGGGCCTGCGTTCCACCTGGGAAGGAGCCGTGGGCCAGCACTGCCACCGGGCGGGCGAGTGTGGGCGCCTGACTGAGCCAGGGGCGGGGAGCTGGCTGGCCACGGTGGCAGTGCAGGGACCGTCACCGGCCTCCGCCACGGGAAGGACGTCTGCGACCTGGCCGGCCCTGATGCTCCCTCAGGGCTCCAGGTGGCGCGCGGCCGAGCTCCTGCTTGTGCAAAGTACATCACACTTTCCTCAGCTGAGTGTGTGACAGAAATACAGCCGCTCGCGCCCCAGGCTGGGCGGCGATGGCGCTTCACCCCACTGGCTGGGGAAGCCTCTCAGGGGCCTGCGGGCCGCGCGGTCCCGGCCCCGGGCCTTGCCCACCCGCGCGCCGGGCCCTCCGGAGGCTGCCTCGGAGGCCGCCCGCCTTCGTGCAGCTCTGTGCACAGGTGCCACGCTTTCTTGTCCGACTGTCTGCTTCGCCAGAATTTCAAAGTTCAAACGTCACTTTCTGTTCTGGACGCAGCCCAGCCCAGGCAGCTGGACAGTCATCCTGGGCGCTGGCCTCACCGCCGCCTCCTGCCACTGCCGCCTCAGTGCCCATTTCTGTTCTCCCAGATCTCAGGCTTTGCCGGCTGCCCACCACGGAGCCCAACGGCTTCTCCACGCTCCCGGCTCCGCGGCTCTCAGACCCAGGCCTGCTCAGCGCAGCGTGCGCGGGGGCAGCCGCCTGCCATCCTGCGGAGCCGGGGGCCACGGTCCCGCCTGGGCATCGTCAGAGTCACTGGGTGCCAGACCTTGGGCAGCAGCTCTTATGGGTGTGGGGGCCTCTTCGCCCTTTGGCTCAAGACCCAACTGCGTAAGCGCAAAGAAGAGAGAGACAGTTGCGGGGCTCCCTCCCGCGCCTAGGCCTCCCCCCATGGGTGACACAGGACGTGGGAGACACAGGGGAGGCGGGGGGAGCGCCACGTGCCTATGGTTCTCTAGAACTGGGAGGGGGCTGTTCTAGAAGAGACCCGGAGGCGTGGGGAGGCCCCCGATGCCCAGTGGGCAAGCTCACACCCCACGCCTGCAGGGCGGACGTCATGCTGAAGCCTGAAGCCTGGGCTCCTAACCCTCTGCTTCCTGGGCCCGGGTGGGGGGCGGGGCCCGTGGCTGGTGGGGAGGGAGGGCGGGCTCCGGACTCATCCCCGCGGGGGAGCACGTGACGGCGGGTGGGGGGGCGCCACCTGCACACGCTGGCAGCCCCTTCCCCGCGAGGAAAGCAGATGTGGTACAAAGTGAGCATTTAGAGTAGCCCTGGGCTACTCTAAATATTAAAGCAGGCGAGGGTGGATATAACGGTATGTTTCGTTTCTTATCAAACGTTTGTCCAGGAAAGCTGTGTATTAGAGCTCCGATAGCTAAGGGTTTTCTTGTGAATTTTAAATCATGCTCCCAGTTAAACCTCAGACAGAACTGTGGATGGGAAGGTTTTTGATTTCCTTTGAAGCGGCTTGAAGAAGTTGATTACTCTTGGCAGTCAAGCCGCCTTTATGACACTGTTTATAAATAATTACTCACGAGCAGGCCGCTGTTTCAGGGTGTTAGATTTCAAGAAGCTGAAATTAATCCGCTAAGTGTGTGCGAGAAGCTGGGGGGAGGCTGTGGACGTTCCCGTGTGGAGCGTATCCGGAGACGCGTGCGCGAGGCTGTCACGGGAGCCTGGACGGCGGCCCCGGCAGCCTGTGAACCCTGTCGCTTCGCCAAGATGGGTGTGCGGCTCGGGGGTCGGCGCGCCCCGCGTGTCCTCCTCGCCGGGGTGCCTCGCCCATCCCCTGGGTGGCGCGGCCCGGAGCCGTGCCAGGCGGCCCCTCCCCAGGGCCCGCGCTCTGAGGCCCCCCCCCCCCGCCCTCCGCTGCGCCCGCTGCTCGGGCATGGCCCCTCCCCCACCTTCCCTGGCACTCCGGCCCCGGTCTCCCCCATCCTGCCACCTGGCCACCATCCCCACAGCCCCCTCACGTCCAGACCCTCCTGCCAGCCTTGTTCTCCACCCGCCGAGGCGTCGCTCACGCCGGGGGCTGCAGAGAATGGGTGGTGCTCTGAGTGCCCAGTCACGGGGCGGGGGGTGCTCTCTCTGGTGGCCCTGCCGGGCCTGGCTCCTGGGGGACAGGCGCGTGGTGGCAGCCCCATGGCCCACACAAGCAAGCGGCATTTCGGGCGTGGCGCCGATTCCGGCGCCCGGTGTGTCCGTCCTGGGTCCCCGCACCCTGCGGGGCGCTCTCCCTGGCCGGCTGGCCCCGGGCCTGGTCCTGCCTGTGCAGGGTTCCATGAGCCTTGCCGGCCCTCGGCTCCGCCCCCCGAGAGCGCCAGGGGGCGGGGGGGTGGGCCTCTGTCAGGAGCAGTCCTGGTGGTCGCAAAGGCGGCCCCAGAAAGAGACGGCTGAGGAGGAGGCGCTGCAGGTCGCGCTGTGTGTGTGGCTCCTCCCAGCCCGAGCCCTGCCCTCGGAGAGCCTGCCACTTGGTGGGGACAGTGACGCCACTGGCTGCTCAGCTGTGGCACAGAAGTCGGGGCGGGGCGAGGAGGACAGTCCCGACAGGGAGCTGACAGGTGAGGAGGCAGGAACATGGAAAACTCCGTCCGGAGGAGCGAGGACCCCCCAGATCGAGGGAGAGCGGACTGTGTGGGGCTTCTGGGCGCCCGGGGTCCCCAGGGAGTGCCTTCTTGGAGGTCATGCGCCCCGGGTCCCAGAGGACTCCAAGGGACACAGCCCTCTGGCCAGAAGAAGAGCGGACGCACGCGGCGAGCCTGCCTCGGAGAGGAGAGCGTGCGGGGGAGCCTGAGCTGGAGCCGCGCCGCGGCCGTGGCAGAAGGCGCGGGGCGCGCCGGGCGCACCTCGTCCTTGCCTCCCCGCCCCTCGTCCCCCGTCCGCATCGCCACCGCCAGAGCACGTCGCCTGCACCTCACACGTGGCGGGGGCTGAGAGCCGCAGCGCTCCAGAGCGGTCAGCAGGCTGCACGTGCGAGTCACACGGCAGCAGAAAGCCGGGCATGTGGCGGCTGTGCGCTGAGTTCTTGAGGAGAGAGTGGCTCCGCGGTCAGAGGCGGTCGGGGGAGGACCGCGGCCCGTGGGGCGAGCCCCGTGAAGTCAGCCTGCAACGGTCCCCAGGGCGGCCCACCTGGCTTCTGTCGGCAGCACCCAGCCCGACGAGCACAGAAGAGGGAGCAGCTCAGGGAACGTTTGCGGGGTGGGCCTCGGTGGCTGTGACCCACCCCTGCATTTGCCCTGAAGAAGGGGAGGCGCTGTGGCTTCAGGCAGAGGCCCGTGAACCCAAGCAGCCTGGCTGGGTGCAGGTGCTGGCTCTTCCGCGGCGGCCCAGACGGGCCCTCGCGTCCCTTCTCGGTGTCCTCCATGCGGACGGGTCCCCTCCCAGAGGCCTGGCAGGCACGGGCTGTGCATGTGCCCTCAAAGGCTCAGATGGGCTGGAGGGCACACCTGCCCAACGTCCCCGACCTCCGCTCTGGGCCCCTCCACTGCCCCCGCGAGGGGGCGGGGTTGCCCTCGAGGTGGTGGTCAGTGGCCCCGCTGTCCAGGCGCCACGGCCCTTTCCTGTGTTCCGGCCCGAGAGCACACGCCCTCCACGCCGCCTTAGGGTGCCGACTTTTTCCGGTGGCCAGCACCGCCCCCCGCCCCAGTCCGATCGCCATGTCAGGCACCTGCGGGGCCAGGGACCTGCGGGGCCAGGCCTCTCGCTCTGAAGCAGGCAGCCAGTGTCTCCATCTGCATGGAGGTGCCAGCTCTTGGAAACAAAGGCGGTCCCAGCCCCGGCTGGGGTTTTATAAATCTGGCCCATATACTGCAGGCTTTGCCCCATAATTTCCCTCTGCAAAATGATGGGGAATACAATCTGCTAAACAAGAGGGCATAAATATTAAAGAAAGAAGCTTCGAAGGTCGATTTACATAAAATACAGCTTTATTTGAGTGCGTGTCCCCGAGACAAAGTCCCTGTTTAAAATGCTCTATGGTGTTTGAAATCTCAGCTGTCCCCGGTATTTATGAGTTTGGCAGACAAGTTACCATGCCCGTGTCCCCTTGGAGAGAGAAACACAAGCTGCCTTAGCGATCGCTCACCTCTCCAGCCACAGAGAGGGTGGCCCAGGTGAGCGCGTCGCGGTACCACAGGGTGACAGATGACCCTGTCCCGGGCAGGAAATGAAACCCGGGAGGAGGAGATAAATCCCCCCAGAGCACAGCCGGTGGGGAGGCTGCTTTGTCGCACCGCAGTGACTTTCAAATCTCTTTCTTCCGCAGTGCCCAGGATTGTGATCCTAGGTCCGCCCGCCTCTGGGAAAACCACCATTGTAAGTGTGTCACCTGTGAGGCCTGGTCCCCGCAGCCGGGGCGAGGCTGCCCCTCCGTGAGCGTTCATCGCAGCTGACCTTTCCTTCCTTCCCTTCGCCCGCTTCTGAACTTATTTCTTGTTCCAAGAGGGGGTACCTGTTCATGGTAGAACACCTAGAAAATACAACAACAACAACAACCACCACCAAACCAACTGAGAAATATAATGCCCCGACCACCCAGGGCTGAGCGTCGCGTGCAGGCGTCGGGCTGGGCCTGCCAGGGATTTCTCACGGCCACAGGGCGCTGTCCTTGCGCCTTGTGTTGTCCTCAGGGCGGGTCTCGAGGTAGCAGCGCTGACCACGCAGCGTGCACGTTTCCGAGAATCGTGCACGGAATCTTCAGACGCACTCTTAAAATTTTAATTCTGACCTAGTTCAACCGATCAGAAAAGCACACATACTCAACTCCCAGATTTTACAGGAATTTATCATTTTGCCATATTTGCTTTGATGGTTCTCTTTGCACTTTAAAGACAACGCAGCCTGAAAGACGCAGCGAGCTCACTGTGCCACCTCCCCCACTCCGTCCACCGCTCCCCCGTTGGAGGCGGCGTGTCCTGAAGCTGCTGTGCTTCGTCCTGTCTGTGTTTTCAGTCTTTAAGCTCTTTTTTCTTTTTCGAAAGGCCAAAACTTGTTCAAGTTTTCATCATCTGAGATGGCACTTTTTCTGTCTTTTAAAAGCCTGCATGGCCTGGCTGGTGCGGCTCAGTGGATTGAGCACCGGCCTGCGAACTGAGAGGCCACTGGGTCGATTCCCAGTCAGGGCACTTGCCTGGGTTGCGGGCCAGGTCCCCAGCAGGTGTGTGAGAAGCAACCACACACTGATGTTTCTCTCCCTCTCTTTCTCCCTTTCTTCCCCCACTCTCTAAAAAATAAATAGGTAAATAAATCTTAAAAAAAAAAAAAAAAAAGCCTGCTTAGCCTCAGCCCACTGTCCCTTAATGGCTGTGTCACCTGTGAGGCCCGGAGGGTGGGCCATTTCCCCTATTAGCTGATGCTCACAATGGCCGGTCCGTGTACAAAATACCACGCATCTGCTCTGCATTACAGCATGTGTGGCTCTTCCACTCATCTGTCTGTTCATCCGCCTGCCCATCTGTCTGTCTGAGGCAGGAGACAGTCAGGAAGGAGGAAACTCCAACGATGCCCCAGGGCTAAGATAAGAGCTAAGGACAGGGCTGAAGGGCGGAGACCGTGTTCTAAGACTGGCAGCTCCTGCATCTGGAAAAGCACTGAGTCCTAGTGAATCAGGAATGTACCTGCGCAGACGATGCGACCTGACCCCTGCCTCATTATAACAGCATTATAATAAATTAGCATTGTGGGACCCCCTTCCTGGTGGCCAACCAAGGAAATCATGGGAGACCACCTGTGCTGTAACTGTAAAATAATGTGACTACTTGTACATGCGCAATAAAAGCTGCCAAAACCAGCCAGGAGAGACCCGCCCTAAAGGAATAAAAGGCCTGTAGCCCCTGAGGTTGGGGCTGGTAGGCTCTGCTCTGCTCCACTCTGCTCCGGGTTGGCCTGCTCCCATGTTCTGTGTGGCTTAATAAATCCGCTTTCTTTCGCTTTCTGCTATAAACTCTGTGTGTTTGGTTCCATGTTTTGTCTGCAATCACCAAGAACCTAGTTACCTGTGCCCACCTGTGACACGTCCACCTACCTGCCCGTCCGTCTGTCTTTAGTTTTAGTTTTTCTACCGTGTTCTGCAGGATCTGGCTGTCAGCTTCCAGTCCTTTCCACGCTCCTCCCACCGTTAGAAGCACAGGGGCTCCCGGCCCTGGTCGTGGGGAGCATTCCCAGGGTGCTTTGGGAAACGCAGGCTCCCGGCCTCTCCTCCAGACTCGCCTAATCAGCTTCTCCTGGTGGCGGGGGACGCGGAGCCCATGGAAAGTGCCCCCGAGATGATGCCGAGGTTGGGAACCGGGGAGGGGGTCCGCACACGGGGCCAGGCCCCCGAGCCTGTCGAAGCGGAGTCAGCGGCCAGTTGAGGACCGCCGTGGGCAGGCGGCCCTTGCCTCCGGGACAGGCAGCACCCTGGGCCCACCTTGCTTCCTTCCTCGCTCTGGCTCTTCTCTGATCACAGACTTTAGGGAGCGTGTGTGTGACTCGAGAGCAGAGGCCTTCTTTCGTCTCCTCCCAGCCTGACCTCCCCGTGGAGGTCAGGGCCTGGCTGTGCTCCGCTGCCACGTGTCCCAGCCACAGCCTTCCGGTGAACTCTCTGTCCGGCGCCCCCCCCCCCCCACCGCCCCCTGCCCTCTGTATGGGGACACTCAGAATCTGACTTTGCAATGAGATGGTAATATAGTAAAATCCAAACAGAGGGCCCCAGGGGGCTGTGTGCTGACGGCGCCGCCCGCCTCTCCCCGCGCGAGGAGCGAGGGAGCCAAGGCTCACGCCTCTGCAGGGCCCGTCCGGGCCGACGCCGGGATGGTCGTCGGGGTGAGCGTGGCGTGAAGAGCAGTTCATGGCCCTGTCGTTCCTTAAATGGTACTCTTCCCTTGCGTGTACGGCAGCTGCGAATGAACCTAAACATTCATTGGGTCAGACTAGGTCATCTCCCTTCTTTAAGAAGAAGGCAATATCGAGTGTGGTTGTGACCCATATTCAGGTCCTATGCCTGCCTTTCCCCGTTACAGCTTCCCCGAGGTCACAGCCGCAGCTCGGAGAGCCATGCCCAGGGCGGACGCCCGCAGGGTCCGAGGGGGCAGGGGCGGGGCGGGGGGGCCGGGGGGCCGGGGAGGTTTGGAGAAGAGGGAGCCTGCGGGCTGAGCCCCGGGCTGGGAGTGCCTTGTGGGTTTGTCTCCTTCCAGCCGGGACGACCCCGTCCCCCACGGCCTGCGTGCTCTACCGGGCAGGGCAGGGCCTGGGCGTGCTGGTGGGGCCCCCGCGCTGCGGCCTCCTCCCCAGTTCCCTGTCCTCTGTCCTTTCACCAGGCGATGTGGCTGTGCAAACATCTGAACAGCGTTCTTCTCACCATGGAGAACTTGATAGCAAAGGAGTATTCCTCTCTGGCTGCGGGGGCCAGGAAGCACTATCAGAAAATGAAGGTAGGACTGGCCCCGGGGCGGCGGGGGGGGACAGCGCTCCAGGGCCCCCAGCCTCCTCGCGGAGGAAGAGCGGGACAGCTTCCTGGTACAGCTGGGAGCCCACGGGCACCGGCAGAGGCACGCCCTCCCTGCCCAGCTCCTCCTCCCGTGTGGGGCAGGGCTCTCAAGTGCTTGCGGGCGCTCCAGGTGTGGTTCCAGGCCGGCGGTGGCACCTGAGAGCCTGTTAGAAATGCAGAATCTCAGCCGCACTCCAGCCCAGCTGCGTCAGAAGCCCAGCGTGGGGCCAGGGACCCGGGCTCTACTGGACCCTTCTGGGATGCACGGGCAAGCCCGGAACGCCTGGCTGAAGCAAGAGCTTGGCAGGGTGGGGGACACACAGACGTCCCAGCAGATACGGGAACCAGGGACCGGATGCCGCCCAGCCTCCCTCTCGTCTCTCGAGCCTCTTCTCTCTCTTTATCATTCATTCACTCCTTCTCTCTGCTGCTCACTCCTGCTCCTGGCTTTTGCTACTCACTTTGTAGAAGCCATTGCAGCCCCCCAGCTTTCAAGTGGACACATTACAAATCTGGTTCCCGGCAGAGGCGCCCCCTTCCTCGACCTGCCGCTGTCTGCTCTGTCCTCCGCTTCCGAGTCTGGGTCCCTGGAAAAGCTGTCCCGCGGGTGGGAGGCCCGGTTTCTCTCTCTTCCTTTGTTCTGGCTCCCTCCCTTGCATTCTCCTCATGTCTGCACAGTGGCTGCTGCAGCTCCAGCTCTTACATCCTCTGATATTTGAGTCCCATGGAAAGCAAGGGTTCCTGCCCCAATGATTGAGCCCCTGTCCTGGGTCTGGCCCTCATGGGCTGGGACTGGGTCATGAGCAGCCTCTGAAGCAATCCCAGCGGCTGAGGGCGGGCTATGCTGATCAGCCTGGGCCAGTCAGCGCCCCCTCTGGGCCTGAGGCTCGGCTTGACCCCACTGAAACCATAGCAGCAGGAGGGCAAGAGGGCGGCTCCTCAATGAACACTGGGGCCTGTGTCTCAGGAGGTGGGGTGTACGGGTGCCAGGCAGAAAATTAAAGCAAAAACCACAGCATTGTTATTCATCTCTACTGGAGAGGAGGGTGGGGCCTGAGGAGGTCACCCGCTGGCTGGAGCTGCAGCAGCTATGCTGTGGCCATGAGGGGGAGCCCCGCCATGAATGGAGCCAGCCCGGGGCTGCGGTGGGCGGTGGGCCCCGATGCTGAGGGAGAAAGGCAGCTGCAGGAACCCCCACCCCAACGGGGACCCTGGCGGTTGCGGTTCGTTTCGACCTCCCACAGCTTTTATCAGATGTGAGTGGGACTTGGGAGAGGCTTTGGCCCTGGTTGTGCACCGCGAGGGGAGGTGACATAGACCGGCGGCCCCTGGGCCCAGCTGCTCCCTTGTCCAGGCTCCGCCAGGGCAGGCGCTTGCAGGGCCTGTGCAAGGGCCTCAGGGAGCCTGCGGGGGCTCGTGGCCGGCCGTCTCCCTCAGTCCCCGGGGCAGCTCTTTGAAGCCCGTTGTCTTCGTCGCATTTACAAACAAGGGCACTGAAGCTCAGAGCACCGTAGGCCCTGGTCCGGGGTCGCTCGGTGGGTGTCCAGGGCCCAGACCATGAGCATCTGGGTCCCGGAGCTCCCAGTGGCCCCCAGGGTCTCCCTGGGAAGCCAGAGGTGTGTCCTTGAATCACTTCGCAGAGGCCTCCAGCCACCTCCCTGTTGAGCTCCCGTCCCGACCCTGGGACCCTGGGACCCTGGGACCCTGGGCACCCGGCGCAGAGTCAGCTTAGGGTTTCTGCACACGTCCCCGCGCGGACATGGGGAGGGTCGGCGGGCCACCGGCAGGCACCCGGGCGTGGGGCGGAGACTGAGCGGGCACCTGCAGGCACGCGGCCGGGCCTGGGGACGCGCACCTGGGTGGCGGCACAGGGAAGTGGGGGCGCGGGGTTGGCGTGGACACGTGGGGCCATCGAAGGGCAGTCGGTGGGAATGGAGCTGAGGGGAGGGGAGGGGCCCCAGGCTGGGCCTGGCCTTCCCAGAGGCCTGGGGGCGCTGCTCAGGGACCCAGGGAAGCCGCATCCTCAGGACCGGGCCCTCTGCTCTCCGCAGAGCCCGCTGGCCTGCCAGCTCCGCGCCCTTTTGGGTTCAGCGCCCGGCTCGGGCCTCACTCCGCCTGTGCTCTTCCCTTCAGTCCGTGCCCAGCGCGCAGCTCGTCAGGCTGATCGAGGAACGTCTGAGCGAAGAGGACTGCGTCCATCGGGTACGGGGCCCCGCGGGGACGGACCGCATGGAGTCAGCTGGGCGCCGGGGAGGTGGGGGCGCGGGTCCCAGGGGGAGGGAGGGAGGGAGTCATGTCACCTTATAGCAAACCCGTGATCTAGTAAGGGAAGCGTTTCTCTGATTCCTGAGCTGCTCCAGCGAACGCACCGAGCCCCGGGGGGCCCGGGCACCTGTGGTCTATCGGCAGCCGGCCTGCAGCCGCCCGGGCGCTTGTTGTTGTAGTTACACCGTGCGCCATGACTCCGCTGGGCATCGCGGCGAAGCCTGCGGGCTGAGCCTGTCCCGTCTGTGTTAGTGTCTATAATGACGGGAATTGTGCTTCTTGTTACTATTTGGGCGACGGGGCTACCAGGCTGACGAGTGACGCCCAGGACCCCTGGCCTGGCACTTGGTCCACATGCGGGTGTGCCGTGCAGAAAGGCTGCAGCGTCGTTGTGCGGACAGTGCCGGGAGCCCCGGGGCCTTTCTCCTCTGACCTTCGCGCTGGACTGGTTTAGGGGTGCAGAGTCTGAGATGCGCGGAGTCTTGCTCCAGGTCCCTCGGTCGGCCCAGGACCGAGTCGCACGCGCAGTGAGGCTTTGGCTGCTGTCCTTGTCTCGCTCGCACTTGCTGCGTCCCTCTGGGCAGCTGCCGCCCTTCCTGCGGCCTCGCAGTTCTGATTCCGATCTTCTGATCAAGTCCAAGCCACTGTCACCTGCAGCGTGAAGAAAGAACCCCTTTCACTTGTTGTGAATTCCCCCTGAGCTTCAAGGGGCACGCGTGCCTTCTTCGCCCCCCGCCGGCGGAGACGGAGCGGGTGGGGGCTGGGGCGTGGAGGTGCGGCTCCTTGTCAGGGGCTCCGGCTGCTCAAAAGCAAGACAGAGCCTCATCCAAAGGAAACAGGCTCTCTTGCTTTCAGGGAGAAAAATGACACACATGCATATTCATTTATATGGTAATTATTATTATTTAGCTGCACAGGGACTAGAATGGGTAATTTAGATCACAAAAAAAGATGCAGGGAATGGTGCTCAGGGAAAAATCATGCATTCATAACCCATCAGGGCTCTGCGGTGAATGTTGGTTTTTCCCCTCTTTTCTCTCCTGGTGTAATGCAATCTCTTTGAAGAATTTCTTTGAAGTGACCGTCAAATGCATGAGAGAATGGGAAATCGGCACTCTGTATTGTCGGCCTATCAGAGGGACGAGGGCTCTACCTGCTGGGGACCCCTTGGCCTTTTGTAGGAATGGGACAGCCATGTTCTTGAAGTCCGAGAGTGCCCAGCCCTTCGGAGCACGTGTGTGGGGCCAGGGGGAGCTGAGAAGCCCGGCAGCGAGTGCAGGAGATCGGGGTGGGGGGAGGCTCGGACCGCAGGGACACTCAGCCTTTGTTTGCGCTCTCCTCGTTTGGATTACTGAGACCTCCCTTCTTGTCCTGGGCACCTAACCCACCTCCCTGCTTCTCCTCTGTCCTGTCTCATGTTGCTGCCGAGGGGTCCCTTTCAAAACTGAATGAATTTAGTTCTTGACTGCAGTACGGTCACATGGTTCCAAATGCAAAATGTGCCCAAGCCCCACTCTGCTCCCATCCCCAGCTACCTGGTCCCTTCCCGGGAGGCGGCTGACATTGGCACTCTCCTGAAAAAGACTATGTTATACACACAGAAGTATTTGTCTTTTTATTTTTTATTTTTTAAGATTTATTTTTTAGAGAGGGGAAGGGAGAGAGAAAGAGAGGGAGAGACACATCGATCGGTTGCCCCTTGCACATGCCCCAACCGGGACTCGTGCCCTGACCGGGAATCGAACCAGTGACCTTTCGCTTTGCAGGATGACGCCCAGCCCACTGAGCTGTGCCAGTCAGGGCTGAGGAGCATTGGTCTCTTTAAAGCGAATGTCACTGTGTCCCTCACTGCTGAGAACCCTCCCTGCTTCCCACACTTCTTGGTTGCACCTGTCCTGCCGCGGCCCTGCCCTGTGGCTCTCCCCTGTGCCTCTGCTCTCTGCTTTCCTGACGTCCTCCAGCCCGGCCGGCACTGGGGCGCACTGTGGCGGGCAGACCCCAGCAGGTTCCGGTGGCTCCCCTGCTCCTGGGGCCCACACCTTGTGGAACCCCCACCCCTGGGGGGGGCAGGACCAGTAGAAGAGGGCAAGGGTGACACGCTGTCAGTCCCCTGACTGCTGTGCGCCACCTGAGACTCAGCCGCAGCAGACCAGAGGGGGAGCCTCTCCCTCCCGGCCTGATGGAGTAAGTTGCCGTGTTGGAGAAGCCCGTGGTGGGTGGCTGGGGTGCCCGAGGGCAGCCTCCAGCCAGCGAGAAGCCAGAGCCGCGGTCACGCACCAGCAGGGACGCGAAGCTGCTCTCCCTCAGTCCGGCCGCCGGAGGAGGGGGCAGCGTGCCAGCCACAGCGGCCGCCCTGCACAGCCCTGAGCAGAGCAGCGCTGCGACCTCCGCCCCGCGGACATGCTGTGTTGAGCCCCCGCGGGCGGGATGAGTTGGTGCACAGCAGAAGACGATGCAGGTGCCCGCTCTTCCGCTGTCCTCCCGGAGCCGGCAGCGGCTTCCAGCCCTCGCCCTCGGAGGTTCAGGGCCTCCCCCATCACCTCGCCCAGCCCCAGGGGAGGCCGGGTTTCCTGCCACCTGAGGCCGCAGCACTCGCCCCACCCCCGCCCCCTCTCCTCCTCGGACCGGACCTGCCGTAGCTGTAGTCAGGAGTGCGAGCTCTGCGAGGGCGGGGCCCGGCCTGTCCCCCTGTCCCGTCCCGCAGAGCCCCCCGAAGCTCACACGGCACCTGACACAGGCCCGAGCTCGGGAAACATTCATGACCATCCCCGTTCGGCCTGACCAGGGCAGCGGCGTCCCACCCCGACTCGCTGGTGGCCCGAGGACGGTCGTGGGCAGGCCAATGTCTGGCCAGGAGAAAGCGGAGAAACGTTTCGATGGCGGGCACCCCGCCCCCCCAGCTTTGGGGGAGAAGGAAAAGCCCTTGCCCGGTGACGAGGGCTTGTCAGACGGCGGGTGGTCTATCCCCACAGAAGGCGGCGGCCAGCGTGCGGCGGAGGCTAGCGTGCGGCAGCGGCAGGATTTGTGGGTCTGCAGGGGACTCGTGTCTGCCTCCACCGGCCCGAGCCGTCCCTGAAAGTCTGCGCTGGTGGCAGCAGCTAGGGGGAGGCAGCAGGCCCCGCGGGGAGAGGTGCTGAGACCTCGGCGTGTCCCCTTGGAGCACCCCGGGGCTCGGGCAGCCACGTGGCTCCTGGTTGGGCAGTGCCCGGTCCGAGGCAAGGCTGTCTCACTGTCTCGGCTGAATGAGGTCGCACGAGCCAAGGGCTTAGCAGCGGGCTGGCCCTGGGCCCACTTCAGGGGCTGGGGGAGCTGTTGCCGTGCCCAGGGAGCAGGGGACAGTTAGGGTCACTCAGGAGGGGGCGTGAGGGCTGCTTCTGCCACTGCCCTGTGGGAAGAGCGGCCCCACACGCTTCCAGGGGCAGCTCATGACCTGCCAGCTGCAAACACCTCTCACCCCCGACAGCTGGTCAAGATGTCCTGTGAGCACGCCCACCTGCAGCCAGGGCGGAGAGGCGGGGCCTTGCCACTGGGCGGTGCTGTCAGCTAGATGGGCTGGGAAGAGGCCTGCACTTTTTTGAGTCCAGAAGCGGCTACCCTTCCAGCCGCTCCCTGGGCCTGCAATCTTGTTACAGTGCAGCTCAGGGAGGGTCACACGTAAGGCCGGCACGGAGCCAAACACAGGTGGGGCGGGGGCAGAGTGGGTCCACGGAGGCAGAGGCGTGCGTGGCGGCTGGCACGATCGGCCCACAGTGTCTGCCCGGCGCCCTGCCGCTCTGAGGCCTCACAGCCGTCCTATGGGTTTTCAAAAACCAGGGCTTACAGGCACCTGCTGTGCACTAGGGACCGTTCTGGGTCCCCCGGCGACAAACGGGGCAGAGGAAGCACGCAGGGTGCCCGTCCCCCAGGGCAGGCGGCTGGGGCGCAGGCAGAGGCAGGTGCCGGGATCCCAGGGCTGCGGACCAGCGGTGGGATCTGGGGCTCAGCCGCCTGTCTGAGCCCGGGCGGGCCTCCCAGAGGTCCAAGTTCAAACCGGCCACTCCACGTGACCTCACCCCCTCCTTACGTCATCCAATGCGAAACTTTGACCGTGCTGCTGAACTTTGACCTCACCCTTCCAATTCCTAGTCAGGCAGGCCTCTGACCGCACTGGAAGCAGGGGCACACCCTCAGCCCCCAGTTAGCAGTATGGGGGGTTCCGTTATTCGCCATCAAATGCAAACTATGCTTTGCGTCCTCAGGCTAACTCTTTGAGCTCATTTAACATCACCGCGACGCTCAGTTACTTCGGGATGAAGGAGGAGGCGAGGTAGCATCCTGGCTGCTGTGGAAGCAAACTCTGAACTTACTTGGCAGCTTTCCAGAGCTTTCTCCTTTCCCTCTTTGGCTGCAGATTTATTCTCGCCTGCCCGGGGCCGCGAGTCGGTACTTTGTCGCGGCGAGGCTGGCAGGGCAGAGGCCGGCGCGGGGTGCGGCGTCGGCTGTGCATTTGATTTGTCCTTGCAGCGGCATTGGGCGGCGTTAGTTACCCGGCTCTCATCCGCCGGCCAGAGGACCACGGGGCTTTTTGCTGTTGTCTTGACACTCCTGATCACTGCATAGATGTCACTGCAGCCTCTGAGGAGCTGGTTCCGCGGGCCTGCAGCCCTGCTGGGCCCGGGGCTGTGTGTCCCTCTAGTGCAAGCACGGCTGGGATTGCGCGTCAGAGGGGAGGCTGGGCCCCGCTCAGGAAACTCCCAGGTGCATCGTGGCCAGGCGGGGGCCCCGGGGCCTGGCCTCGTGGGTCCCTCACTGGTGGGTGTCTCTGGACCCTGCGGTCAAGCCCGTGGTTGGTTGATTGGCTAGTTGCTGTGATGCAAGGCTTGCTGGTGGCCTGTGGGGCCCCATCCGCGAGCCAAGCAGCACCCCAGGCACCCCAGGCAGAATCCCATGATGTGTTT